TGCCCTCGTTGTTATCCGAATCCGAATTTTCCTCAGATTCTTCGGAATTTTTCTGTGTCAAGGTCATTGTTATTTGAGTCTTCTCAGACACAATCTTCTCCTTCCCGAAAATGACATCGCGACTTCGGAGAACTTTGTTACTTTCCGGGATCCACACTCGAAAGCCATCTTTCTCGCCACAGTATCCGACGAAAATGCCTTCCGTACTCTTTTTGTCCCATTTTTTTCTTGTTTGTTTTGGTACGTGCACAAAACATTGTGTCCCAAAAATACGCAGATGTTCAAAATTATGTACACTCACAGTTTGACTGCCTTTCCACAATTCCATTGGTGACTTATCCTTCACTTGCGTCGGTCCGGTCCTGTTCAGTACATACACCGCTGTGTTGACGGCTTCCGCCCACAATTTAATCGGAAAATTTCCTGCATGGATCATCGTTCTCGCACTTTCTACCAAGGTCCTATTTTCACGTTCTGCTGACCCATTCTGTTCGGGTGTGTACGGCATTGTTATTCTGAGTGTGATACCTTTCGACTCTTAAACATTTTCGCACTTCCAAATTGTCAAATTCCTTGCCACCATCACATAGAAATTGTTCAATTTTAACACCAATCGCGGTCGCCTCGTTTACGAATATTTTTAAACACTCGGGTACCTCACTTTTTGCTTTCATAAAGAACACTCGACGAAATTTCGAAAAATCGTCTTTGAAGCAAACAAAATATCTGGCCCCTCCTAACGATTCCTCCTGCATCGGTCCACAAACGTCCGCGTGTATTATTTTTCCTGGAACCGTAGGTCTGTTTTTTCGAGAATGGAAACTGGCGCGACTGTGTTTACCAAACACGCATCCTGCACAAAACTCTTCATGTGCCTCCACCTCGATGCCCTTTTCTTTAAGAAAATGTGTTACATGCGACTTACTTTGATGTGCGAAACGCTCATGCCATAATTGCAACGTTTCCTTTGTTGATGCAACATGCACTTCTGCTGCCGCTTCCGGTTTTCGAACTCGAATATTTAGGGCATACAACCCGTTCGACAATTTCTTGCCTGATAATCGAACACTACCGTCCTTCTTAAAGTAACATCCCCCGTAGTTAGCTTCAAAATGATATCCATTACTTATAGTTTGTCCTATTGAAAGTAAATTTCGTTCGATATCCGGAACTAACCACACGTTATTTAAATGATTCCTGCGCCACTCGCCATTAACAAACATTTCAACGTTTATTTGACCCTGACCATACGCGAAAATTTTCTCGCTGTTCCCGACTTGCACCGTTTTTGGAAGTGAGAACGGTTCAAAGTTTATAAAATAACTTTTATGCCTGGTCATGTGCGCACTAGCTCCTGAATCCGCTAACCACAATTCTGCATTCGCGTCCTTGTTAGATTTTTCCGCACCTACGAAAGCATCACCGTCGGCTCTTGAATCAAACCCGGATGACCTCCTGCCGCGTGATTCGGACGAATTTCCCGCGGAATTTCCGCTCCCTTTCTTGGGGCATTTTTTTGCAAAATGTCCTGCTTGATGACACCGATAACATTTCGGTTCCGACTTGGGATAGTTATTCGCCTGCTTTTTATCACCACCCTTGGCCACGAAAGCGCCCACGTTTTTAGATTTCGCCGGTAAACGCATTTCAATTAAGCGAAGTCTTTCGGTTAATTTATTTAAGGTGCGATCTTCCACTGGGACAGATTCCCACACGCTCTTGAATTCAAAATATTCAGAAGGTAGCGTCGACATGATCCTACTCATTAGCACTAGGTCCGGGAGTTCTGATTTCACCAACCGCCTGAGTTCATCATTCATTTCTTGGAAATCTCTCTGCAGCTTTGCGATATGTGTAGCAATGTCTTCCTCTGGAGTCCTATCGTTGCTGAAAAACTGCTCCATCAGCCGATCTACGCGTTGCCCTGAACTTTGCTCATACACAGACAACAGCTTTTCCCACGTTTGATTAGCAGTTTCACAAGTAGCAACCAAATTTAAATTTGTCTTGTTCATGCTACTTACTAGAATCAGCTGTGCTAAAGCATCATCTTTGTTGAACGTTTTCAAATCCGCTTGATACTTTGAAATAACCGCTTGATCCGCATTCGCTGAAGGTCCCGCTGGTGATGCTCGCGTCCCGATGGCCAGATCCAAAACATCCTGATGTTTTAACAAAAGTTCAACCTGTTTTCGCCATTGACTCCAATTCGAAGCACCCTCCAACTTTTCTATGTGAGCCTTGAAGTTAAAGTCCGACATTTTGTGACGATACCGCGCGCGAAACAAACTACCGATACTTAGCACTGTTTACAACTAAACCTTACAAAGTTACGACTTCTTATTTACTTTTCGCACCTTTTAGCGCATCTGGGCACATAACCTGTTAAGATTAATTCAAGTAAAAAGAAAAAAGGATTTATTTGCAAATTGCTTAAGTACAACTTATAACGTTCTTATCAAAACGTGAACTACTATTAAAAAGAAAGCATGCGCAAAACGCAATTGAACGTTTAAACTTTGTCCAGGTCCGTACTCAGTACACGATTTTGTCTCTTCAACACAGATTTTTGAAAATGGACTTAACCGTTTCTGGCTGCCACAATATAATCTTTTTACACACTAGTTATTTCATCATCTGGTAGTAAGCTGTTACCTTCTATTTCGGATTCGTCCGAATCATCGTAGTCACTACCTGCTACTGCAGGTTCTGGAACAGTATCTTTGACTGTTTTTGCAGTAGGTAAAGATTGGTACCATTTGTGAAATTCGACTGGTATAGTTTCTTGTTTACACAAAGTTAGTAAATTTTGCTTCTTTAAAACACTTATTGGTCTCAGTTTGGTGTAAGCGTTTTTTAACTGTAACGACTTTAGGTTTACGGGACGTCCTTTACCAAAAATATAAATTTCCTTATATTCCGAGATATGATCGTACCTGTATTCCAGTATACCTGCTGGTTTGATTTCTGGTATCTGAAGCATTTTATTTTCAACCAATTTACCTTTTCCCCTTCTGTATTTTTGTTTTTGTTCTTTAGAATAAGTTTGGCTAGTTTGCCAAGGTCTTTAATATCAGAGTATTTCAGTTCGCGTACATTGCAGGGTGCGCTTTTTTTGTTTCGCACCCATTTAGATCTAGCCAACCGAAAGATGTTTAGCCAGTCTTGAATAGTATAAATTGGAATGTATTTTTTTTGAGATTCTATTGCACTGTGCATAGAATCTACTTCCATATATAACTATGGCCGCTCTCTAAAAATTTATGTTCAATTACATTCAGGTGATTATTTTGAACTAGGTACAAGAACAGACTTGAAATATTTTGGTTCCTATTCTGCCCACCGCAGGTGTCAGAAAAAAATGAAATTTCAGTAATACTGGCAGGTAACTGTAAAATGTAATTATAAAGGCATGTGCCGATCTCTGAACTTCCGCGTTTCCCATTTCATTCTGTCCAAGCAAAGCAAAAGGCATCGTTCGGGATTGGTAATTCGTAAATTGTAAGGTTGTAGGTACAAATTTTGCGGCTATAATACATAGGGCTGACTTCACTACAATACAATAATAATAATACAATGAATAATATTATTGTTTGACATAATAACAGCTGTTGTAGTAGTAACGCCACCTACTGGTTTTACCAGCAAAGTTGACAGGAAAAAACGGTTAAGTGCACTTAGCTGGTTTTTGCTGTTCAAATGTGCTAGATTAGGACTTAACTGAAAATCGCACGGCCTGTAACTATTAAACCATGCTAACTTTGACAGCCGGTTCTTGCAGAACAATCTTGGACAAATATTGGACTTAACCAGTCAAATATCTACAATTCACAAAAACTTGGACTTAACCGGTTTTTGCAGTAACCCGACGATATACTAGCTATTGTCTGTCATTTGACATTTCGCGTATACCTGGTTATTCCCTATTTTTACGATAAATACATCAAGAAACGGTTTCTTTAAAAACTTCTGGTCATTTGCGGAACGTTTAATTGGTAATATACAATTGTTGTGAAATTAAAAATGTGTTTTTTATACATGTACTGATATACACTTGCTTAAAATATTCTCATTTTTACATACGCATATAATTATAGGACATTGGGTTAAATAAAATGTCACTACACTGTTTTTTCCTGTTTTAAAGCTTCAAATTCAATACGTATCTGAGATTAACACGAATTGCCGGTATCCCATCTGAAATATAATGTAATAATTAATACCGGTTAGGATATCTTGTTTACTTACGCAAGGCGTAGGTTATGTTACAATCAGCGCGCAGACGTAGGTAATTATAACATTGCTTCTACTTTGATAATTCACCACCACAAGTCAAATTATTACTCTTCATAAATGAAAATAATTGCCTTTACTTATGAAACGGACGCGGCGTATTACGATTCCACATTCACCATTTGACAGATTACAGTGGAGACATCTATCGGTGCGCATTATAACAACACGCCGATTACCCGTCGACTGAATATTAAACCACTTGATTTTAAAAATAAGCCATACCCAAGTACACGTGGTTCAGACTATATACCCTAAAACAATTTGGACCAAAACCACTCACGGTTTTCATATTGTCTTATAATTCAATTACTTACACTAGCAAATAGAGTGTCGTCAGCATCTTCTAACCACCTACAGCACATAAAAAAAACGTTTGATGCGATTGGTTGATTTCTTTATTTTTAGGTAATAAACAAATTGCGAGAACATTTCATTATATGATAAAACATTACAAATTTTATCTACTGACCTCTATTTACAGCATCTATTATGAAAATTAAAAATGGTAAATTTGCTCGTTTAATAAAAAAAATGATAAAGAACGCAATATACAATATAATGAATTAAAATTATTCGTAAAAAAATACTATAGAATCCGAAATACAGTGCATTCCTTTATGTTATGATGAGTTTAAAAACAAACTTCATGTAGAACAAGCAACTTTGCTATTACACATACAGTTATAAAAAAAATAGGGCATAAGTCAACAATAGGATTCTATTTCGCGATACATTATACATTACACGCCAGTTCTAAAATTACAAACTCCACTCACTATGAGGTCATCATATCACTGACTGTTGATGTATTTACATTAGGTCCCTTCAGAGAGTCATTTATGTCTCTTCGGAACATAGAAAGGTTTTGTGTAAACCTAAAAATAAAAATACTATTAACATTCCTCAGAAACATTAAAACAACTGCTAGGTACCTAAGAAAATAGTAGAAATTTTGTGGGAGGATTTTAGAAGTTTAACAAAAACTTAGGTCTTAATTGAATTAATTTATGTACCTACTAATGATTTGGTTTACTGAGCAAAGGCTCTTAATAAAATAATTCCCCTCTAATTAGAAACTTACCTATCCCTATTTTTGGCAAGCAAATTTCTCTCTATTCCATCCATTAAATTTTCAAACCATTGGGCCATAGCTACCTGCTTATCAGGAGGTTGACTACGAATTATATTTTCTCTTAGTTGATTAAAGTAGTCTTCATTCAATAAGATTAGTCCTAAAAGCGGTCGAGACATTGACCATTGGTTTCGACAGTCTTCAAACATAATCACATTTAAAACAGTACTAAGGATTTGTTGCAAAATTTCCGGATGAACTTCGAGTACTTTTAGGAACATATCACTAGACGGAACGATACCAACCCGAGTTTTTTTACCAGGAAATACTAAAATGATCATTGAATATGTGTAAGTCATAGCACCATCCTCACCTTTTTGAGTCAATTGCTTAAATAAATACGTAACTATATGATCCAGTGTGGCACAACATCCTGTACATACCATAGTATCTGAAATGCATTAATTACAGGATCAATTTAAATTTGATATTTTTTAGCTGCAGCACAGAGTTAATCAGTACAATACAACCAGCATAAAGATAAAATTTTGATCAAACGAAAATAAACATGCACAATCGAATAAAACCAAAATAATTTTGGTAGGTACTTTGTATTAATAATGCATGCAGCTAAACTATATTTTAGTGTTTGTACATTCAGAGACATGATCAGCTGCGGACCAAAAAAAAATAAAATAAATACACCTAATCTACACTAGGTGTTACAAAAAAAACCTGAGTCCAAAACAGATTTTAACAAATGGTTGTACTTGAAATATTAAGAACTGACAAAATTTTATATGCTGCGTGTCCCTGAACCGTACAGACCTGTATAATGATTGAGTTGCCCACCTAAGGCAGTCAAACCCTCCGATATAGAGGATAAAATATATAAAAATACACGTGGTTCTAATGTGGACAGAAAACTCATGTGATCCTGAGCCAGACACTCTAAAAGCACGTAGTAGGTCTGCGAAAGCTTTGGATAATCCTACAAAAAAATTATGCAGCCTCCCTATTCATTTTACGTTGTAGATACATACCAGTAAATCTGATTGAGGAATAGAAAGAAGTAACTTAACAAAAATGTTTAAGGCATTATCTAAAGCCTCATCGCCATACAATCTAAATACACCAAAATTCACATAACTTCCACACAGCGCTGCTTTCAACATCGAAAAACATATAGATATTCCTTTTAGTTTCAACGGGTACGTTTGTTCTTTAGACACCTCGACATTCAAAATTCGACTACCTAGAAAGTTATAACGTCAGTACAGAATTATTGTATTTAACAGCATTGAATTATAGCATTTTCAACTTCATCTTTGTGAAATCATTAACTATTGTGTGCCGTTAAAGGATAAATTAATAGATCTGCTGCAAATTTTTAATGCAAAGTTGGCCATTCTAAACAACTTAATTATATTGATTTGAATTTGGCTTGAACAATATAGCTAAGAAATGGGAATTGGTAACTGCAGCTGAAAGTACTATACAAGTATTATGAGATGTTCATTCTAAAATTCTAAATTTTGTACTTACCATAAGTGCAAATGATTTTACTTGCTTCTCGAAACAATAGTATTCCATTTGGTGAAGATACGTCGAACAGTAATCTTTGAGATCTATTTTGAACTAATTCCGCAAAAAGTTTTAATACAGGTGTAGTTACTTGCGGGTCATGGTACCATAATTCTATAGCTCGTAACAGAACAGGTGTGTAACTAGGATATCTATTTACAGATAAGGAATCACAAATTACTCACAAATGACCTCATTAAATAATCGACAATTTTTCATTGTTAAGAGTGGAACAGACTGTGCATGTCGTCTGTAAGCAGAATGTGTCAGACTGTTAGCCTCTACCTGATTATAACTCTCAGATGTAAGATAGCAAAAAAGTTACAACTGCCACTTTCATTATTTCATTTTGTACTCTATTCTTCTAGCTCCACCTAAAACTACTGACTCACATTTTAGGATATACAGTGGAGTCCCGGTAATTCGGGTTGGATTGGACTGAAGGTACCTGGAACTGTGACGAATAATACTGAACTTTAAAAGAAAAATGTGAGGTAAGGGGTTATGCATTAGGAAAACTACAGTATGTATTGTTTAGAAGTAACCTAAAAGCATTAACATTTAACAAATTCAATGTTCAAAATAAAAAGGACTTACACAACTTATTTTTTGAATAAGTCTATAATAGTCTTTTGTCTTTTTTAGCGCGAAAATTGTAGGCAGGTGTAAATTTTGTGTAAGTAGTTAGCTCATGGGAATTTTTCCACGTGTAGTATTTTAAAACTCGTAGGACGGTGACTTTGAAGTTCAATTATTAGCTTGTGCAATGAGACATCCGATTTTGATTGTTTTATGTGGGCGCGTAATGTATTTGTACTTGTATTGCGATAATCTTTTATTAACTAGTAATTGATGATGCATTTGTCGAAAGATAGCACGATTGCTTTTCGAGCCCAAATAAAGGGGGGGAAAACTCTAAAGCCTCTTTAGTATGATGCTAGACCGATTTCAGAACGAACAATGTATGTGAATAAGAATTATTTCCCCTGATTCGGTAGGAAGCGATTTACTAAGTTTCTTGAATGTGATTTTCTCAGACCCCTCTGTTCGAAAATGTTGGATAGTTGAAAGTGAGTCCCACACGGAGTTTCAAATCGTCTTGATTGAGGTCCATAGAATTATCCCTTCTAGATAAGAAGTTATAATCAAATTACGAGTATAAATAAATTTGCGGAGTTTTATTACATATGCTAATTGTGTAAATTGTGTATTGTATTATTCGTTTAATGTTGGTTTAGTTTTAAATGTATACTAGTGTCTCCCACATTATTGAAGAGTAGCATTCATTTTTTAAAACAGGATGTTAGGTGGCGAGGTCCTACAACACACCTTCTGCTCTGCATGCATTGCAGGAGATAGTAATATACAGGGTGTTCTTAAATATGGTGTAAATACGAAAGGGGTTGTTCTTTGGCTTATTTTATGACTAAAAGTTCATAGAATCATCGGTCCGCAAACCCTTCGTTACCAATATACATGGTGTCATATTTCTACCAGCTTCTAATTTATAAACATATGAAAACAAGAGCCAACTGGCAAAACTAATAAAAGCAAGATATTATCTAGATAAAGCCAGGGCCTACTGAACCAGTTTTAAAATTACAATTTCAACATTTCTGTTATTAGTAGCAATAGACATGACTTGTTGTTTTATGAATTGCTACTAATAACAGAAATGTTGAAATTTATTTTTAAATTTGCGGGTATACCGAAAGCTTAATAAAACATGTAAAAACAGTTTTGTATGCACCTTTTAATTCTGAAGAACTCTACAGTTTTTTCTGTAAACAGGAAAGGAGGGCAGGAATTGCATAAAACTAATTTCCCATGTTAAATCCCTATGTTCCTAGTTACCGTGCACCACCCGGTATGTCTACCGCGAGTGAGGCTCTCGCATGTCTCCTGGAAACACACTTTCTCTCTGTGGACTACGTAACTATGGACCGACTAAAAGCAGCTACCCGGGTCAGTATGAAACCAATGGATTGGAAAGCAGCTGCCAGGGTGGCACCCGAGGCATCTCTGAGATGGGTGGGCAAGACATTCAGTCCATTTAAGTATATGCACAGAGAAAGGGCGTGTTCGAGGAAGGGGAGGGAAGACCTGGGAGTGTTTCTAGATATCGAGGGTGCGTTTAAGAACACCATGTTTGATTCAATAACTGATACTGCTGAAGGACCTGGCATTGATGGGGCAATCGTAAGATCGGTTATTACAACATATCCACAGGGCATAGTGTTGTATCCACTGTTGTAGTGCCTGGTCCTAGATATGCTCCTCCACAAGCTGAACGAGGATGGAGCGTATGCACAGGGATACGCGGCCGACCTCGCGATCGTCATAACTGAAAAGGTTTCAAACACTGTGAAAGAGTTGATACAGGGGGCTCTTGAACAGGTGAATCCTGTTAACTCGGAGAAGACAGAGGTTCCATTATGAATACTTTGAGTGAGTGAGCCCACTCTTCAAGGACGTCAACTGGCTCTGACCAGGTCAGAGAAATATTTGGGAGCCATCATAGACTCCCGCCTGATCTGGAATGGGCACATTGAGTGAATAAGCACACAAGGCCATGTAGTATATAGAAGAGCTTTTGGCTGTACATGGGGCTTGAATCCCGACTGGTATATTGGCCCGTATGAATAAAAGTAAGCAAATGCTTATACTTGAAAAATTCAAAGTAACTACTCGTAAGTGCTCCTTCGCACTGGGCGACTTAGCAGCGCTTCTAAGCAGAAGGACAGGACGCAGTGCAGCGCTGCTAAACCATGCTAAACAGACCAGTATGAAGGGGCAGTTACGAGTATTTACTTTGAATTTTGCAAGTATAAGCATTTGCTTACTTTTATTCATACGGGCCGTTGTCTTTACACTGTAGTGGTAAGGCTAATCAAACTGCAAGGTGCACTTTTATGATGGCTTGCCACGCACAGGGCAACCTACAGGACGGGGCTAAAAAGGTAGGTACACAAACTCGCCTGTGTGGGAGTCACTGGAGCCATAAACACTGCGCCAACTTTACCCATGGAACCACTTGTGGGACCAGAGCCTTTATACTTACTTGTGGAGGGAAAAGCTTGGAAAGATTTGATACGGCTAAATGATTGGGATGAGTGAAGGCATCGGAAGCAGCCTTAGATACGGGCGGGTCTGGGAGGAAGCCTTCAGATCTGACCCACTCCTCACAAGAAAGGATGTGATCCGGGCTGTCTTATTAAGACTGAAGACTTATAAGATCACTCTCCCGAACAGGGAACTCAGGTTGCCCATTTCTACCTGAGGGACTCTTGTGGTTTAGACAGATTTCCAATGGAAAGGGGAATGGGCATAGGTATATATGGTTTCTCCTTTGGTCAGCATGGCACCATGTTTCAGGCAGAGATGTTAGCCATCATGACCTGTGCACAGGAGAACCTCTCTTGAGGTTACTGTAATAAGCATACATACCTCAGAGTAAGAAATAAAGATAGAGATGCCTTGATGCTTATCTATGCGTGCCATCATCTCGTTTGTTTACTAACATTGCAGGAGGCTAAGTTGTCACATTTCACGAGATAGTTTTCAAGGGAATAATAATAACATATGCATCTGGAGTAATCTAAATGGATTTTTAGATGCTTATAAGAGTTCAGTAACCCAAACAATTTTAACTTACAATTAAACGGCGTAACAAGAAAAGTTATGGTGATTAGTGCACCACATCGGCAACGCTGTAAATTTGTTTTCCGTTGAGAGGTATTTTGTTTATTTCGTTAAAACGTGATTCCTTAATTTTTAGGCGTTTTTATAGTGCAAGACTTATTCGATTTATGGTGTATTAATTTATGGGGGCGCTTTGAAATGGGGAAAAGCTGTATTATTTGTGGAATTATTGAATTACCTAACATAACCTTTCATCGGTATTTGTTTTGATGTCATAGACGTGCATACGGGAATGTTCGCATTTTAATGTGTTTAGATTTCCTTCTAAGTTCCCACTTTGAAGTATCACCATACCTTATCATAGATCAATAGGGACCTTTCAAACACATACAGCTTTTCATCATAAATATTTAGTGATACGTTATTACGTTTGCACATGTAAACAAAACATAAACTTTGTTGCCCATAAAGATAAATAAACCCTACGCCACTGACTAATGTTTATTTTCGTCCTCACACCGGTGAGATGTTGGTTCAAAACAAACGTTCACGTTGTTATAGCGTACGCGTACTCTATCTTTATTTCTTACTCTGAGATACATACATACATACATAACCTGCAACCTGCACAACATTGGACTTGTAGGACAGCTCACGTGCAGGTTCTGTGGCGAGGCCGATGAAACTACCGAGCATGTGGTCTGTCACTGTGGAGACGCCTTGATCAGAGACATACATCAGCTCCTTGGTGACAGTTATCTGGAACCGGGGAGATAGAAGCAACTTAGGCAACCCTACTCCAAGCACTACACCTCAGATAAATATTACAAATTGCCATGTTGTTCTTTTGATTCATAAGAGTTAAGTCCTAGATAAAACTTGTGTGTTTTGTATATATTTAGCTTTAGGTTCTGACATTGTTACTGTATGGTGGCTATTACCCATATGCACAGATATATCCCGACAACTGATTGATAGTATAAACCCAAATATGTAAGAACTGGGTACTATATTTTTTGAGTTTAACCATTGCTAACACACACAGAAAAAAAGGATACATCCAATCAAATAACATCATATATGATGTTTTGGTATTAAAGGCAAACGCAAGTCCTCGTAAATCTCTTGCGAGGCCTATTAACACTTTTTTAGCGTCGTCAGCAGGAAACACTGCATTTTCAGCTGCGCCCAACATTGTACCAATATTACTAAACGAGCCTAAAAGAATTGATAAACACAAACAGTCAAGTACAATCCCTGCTTTTAAAACCTGTTAAAGGTAACATAAATGTATGAAATCTATCCTCATCTTCACCTAAATCGACCATAAGCAATCTTCCAAGTGATGTATAGAACATAGATCTACATCTCATTTCTGTAACTGCTACGGCATTACCCAAAAATGGAAAATGCTCGCTTGTGTGATTGTTTAACATAAACTGCACTTCTTCTAGCTTGACTAATTTCCTGACGCAGCTGTATCCCACCGACAAATCATTAAGCAATTGTAGCGTCTTACTTATGATTTGTTCACTATGTCCCCAATACTTTAAATTGGTTATTCTGAAAAGTAGCATTTGTAATATGGATTACATTTCTTTCACAAAGTTTTACATTTTTCTAATAAATACACTTAAAACCGTTGCCTCATCATTTAAACCAAGCACCTCAGATAACCGTCGATACACCTTGGAATTCTTCTGAACCTGGTCACCTACGTATATTTTTCGAAACTGCTCAAAAAAACTAAGCATCGCAAGTTCCAACTTCTCACAACCACCCTGAGTAAGTCGAGAATCGGTTAAATTCATTAGCTGAAGGACGCGACACACAAGTTCACCGTCCATCGCGTCATGTTCTTCGAAACTATTAAACGAAACTCTACCACCAATTGCAGACCCAATTATATACACCAACCATGTCAGTCGACCTACGGTTAAACATTAAACGAGTAAATTAGCATTTGAACAGTTACCCTCTTGTATTGTAATTTCAATTTGTTGCGTGGGTGTTGCTAATAATTCCTGATAGGATCTTGCGGATTGATCAAACAACTGAACTAGCAATGCGCACGTTTTCTGATATTCGCAACGGCCAATAACGGATAACTGCTCAAGTTGCTGTTGCACCATGCCTAGATCTTCGATTGGGTCCTCTAGTCCTTCTCGGACCACAACTGCAACAGATTCTAGTCTCGACGTAATATACGCGCTAGTAACCTCAGGTGTGTAGGTTTCCAATAAATGTGGTTCGGTAGCTTTCACATATGGCACGGATGCCACCATTCTTTGCCATAAACTTAATAAATAATGTACACTATTTGGTGCAAATTGCCACATCTGAAATAAATGGAGTTTAAAATCACTAAATGTGTGTTTTCTTAACCTAATACAGTTTACAGAGTTTAATCCCTGTCCGAAGGTTTTCCAAGAAACAGATGAAAGGGTACAATGTTTTCCCGTAGTGTCAATAATTTTGAAATACTAGAAGTTAACCCCAACTTAGTCATTCATGTACTGTTGGTGCAGAAAGTATGTACCCCAGTTTGACCTAATTACAAAATAACTGCTTGACGGAGTTGAATGGGCTTGATACCAAATAAAAGGCTGTTTTAACCTACAGTGGTCGCTATATTTTTTGGGACACAAGTAGTCGCTGCGGACTCATGCTTCACAGAGGTTAAATATGACCCTACAGGTTTAATTGGGAGAGCAGACTTCAGCAAATGCTGTAGTACTGAACTTCGCCCTTCACTTGAATGTTTTGGAATACATCTTTTTCTTTTTTTGAATAATAATTATAATTTTATATATATATAAAAATAATTATTATTATCACTGTACAAAAATTTACAAAAAAAATAGTAAGAAAACGCTTTCTACATTTTTGAAAGTCTATAATAATGTACATACCAAAAATAAATAAATTAACTCTTAATAACAGTTTAAAATAACATAAAAAATGAGTTTATTTTCATTTACCAAGAGGCCCTTTGGATACATTCAACACTTATGGAGCCGACAGTTAGCACTGATTCATAAGGGTATTTATTATCAGAAGGTAACAAGAGCATGACAGCAGTGGGGGTCTAAATAGTCGCGTAATTACAAAAAAATCAATGGTGCGGAGCGAGAGTCCACAAACGACTGCTGTAGAGTTAATCAAGATGAAAACCAAGGATGGACTGGATCACTGAGTCAACTGGGTCATTGCAATCTTCTAAATCGCTAACCCAGTCACCCAGTTTGACTCAGTGACCACCGAGTTTCGAACAGTAATATGCTTCATTTTGTTACACTGACTGTACTTTGGAGATTTTAGAAAAGCCATAATTGCAACTAAATTAATAAAACGCCTAAACTAAATGAGTCTTATTTTCTAAGAATCGCCAAGTCGAATATGCATTTAAATATAATAGAGCAAGATCCCAGGGCCCCCAAACCTTACTTATTTTTTTATAGGCAAAAAATTAGTGCATACAACGTATACATACCCAGTAGCTTAGGCCGACGGCCAATTCTCAGGTACATAGAAATTGTACCCACTGTACCTACAGTCTGAGGAGTGATTCTTACGTATGTTGTGGGGAATATTGTTAACAATAATTAGAAATGAATACTGCCAGATACCTACTATCGGCAGTATCTATTGCCAGACAATATCGAAAGCTTGCTATACGTACGTATAGCTATCTCGCTCACACTAAAGCGCACATATTTGTAACACCTGGGACCTGAGAATTGGCCGTCCACCCAAGCTAACGGGATGTGTACGCTCACTGTACACACTGATACTACTCTATTGTACATATTTTCTGAAAATAAGTAAGGTCTGGGAGCCCTGGGATTTTGGACTATAACATATTAGATAATCATTTATTAAATTAAAATGTTTATTTGACAGACGTGGACTGAAGGAAATGATCGAAATAACCATCTACATGAAAGTCTACACTACATCATTTGATACCACATTTCCTTATACCTAGCATCAAAGGTTTTCAGGTTATTCAAGATTTTTTGAATTTGTGATGTGAGCTCTGTACCTATGACTCGGTTGACTTGATGCTGCATGAGAAAGATTAAAATTTTGATGGCAGTGTGTTTTAAAATACATGGTCAATAATAACTTCAAACCTAAAAAAGTTGATCGTTCAAATACAACCTCCTTTATTTTTTTACATTCTCAAATATTGAAAAAAATTCTACATCGATCAATTCCCTACACCTATCTGTTATGCTTTCAGTTTTATTTTAGATTTTCTAAAATTGTGACTGTTGACTGTGAATTATTGTGCGTATAACTTTTGTTTGAACAGTGATTAAAAAAAATTTGCTGTTGCTAACACAGATCCACCTGCGCATCGACTTTCAGCCCAAAAGAATTTCAGTGGGCCTTTTCGTGGTAGGCATTTTGAAAAATTGTTTGCAAAATAGGAATTTAAATCTGGGTTAACCCCAAATGATCAACACATTGGCCCTGTTCAACTCTACTGAAAACAGCATATGAGATATGTAATGCGATTGGTCCTGTAATGGTTGTTATGGCGACTGTGGACATGCCAAACTTAGGAGGTACCGTATGCAATATGTACACTACAAGTTTGAACGGGTCATGTGACTGTCCATAATCTTTTTTTTTGTAAAATCAGTTTTGTAAATCGTTGTAACAGAAAAAGGAAACGTAAGCAGAGTTATGAAGATGGTACCCAGGTGTTTTGATGGCTTAAGCCATTTTCAGAAGGAGATGCAGGACAAAGCACACAGCGGGCACTGCAAGAAATTATGAAAATTGAAGAGAAAGTCCTGTACGAAAATGGTTTCATTAACTCTTTCAGAAGAGCAAAATGTCATGAGAAAAAAACACTGTCTTGATTGAAAATGACTCCCAATTTCTTGGAAAGTGTCATTGCTGATGACAAAAATTGAGTATTTGAATAAAACCCAGAAACCAAATGTGGAGCATGAAATTGGGCACTTTGTCCAGATATCAAGGTCAAATGGAATTTTTGGCAAGTAAACAAATTTCTTTTGCTCAATGCCCTTACTCCGACTTGAGTCTGAGATTTTTTTCTTTCTGAGATTGCAAACTCAAAAAATGTTAATTTCTCCAATGGAAGACATTCAAAGAGCGGTAACTGATCAGCTGACGATTATTCTAAAATGCGAGTTCCGGCATTGCTATCAGGAGTGGAAAAATCGTCTCCGACGCTGTCGCTTCCCAAAGGAAGCTTTGGAAGTGAAAGATGTTTAAATCACCAGTCTCATTACTTAACAATTTACATACCTCTTATACCTTGTAGACTAGTGGAAAACCCCTGAACCGATTTGGACGAAATTTGGGGTACATATAGAGTGGTATGGAGAATCGAAAACGTCCTATTTTGGATTTGATCCGTAATTACACTAAAAGTACCCCCTTTCAGCTCGTTTCCTTTTATGCCAGACCAACTAATCATTAAACAGTCAATATAGCAAAGTTACATCAAGTTTAGGATCAGCTCTTCGCACTTGCGCTAATGGAGTGTTCGGATGTTTACCTACGAAAATCACGATCGCGCGCATTTAATTGAAAATGCAGGTAAAACAGAGATACAAAGAAATTTATCAAATTGTAGAGAACTAAATTTTCCATAAAAAAACACGAAACACCATATGTCCATAAACCAATTAGGAGTAATAAAAGTTTTAAATGCGTGCATCATTTCCGAGTAGTTCTTCACAATACCTTTCAATACTTATTATTCCTAAACAGCTTGAAATAGACATATGCAATGTCGGAGTCTTTTTTGTAGGAAATTACACAGTATATTATTTGCACAAAAAATGATCATAACACTCCATTGGAGTAAGTACGATAGACTGAGTCTAAACTTGACCTCTCTCTTACATTGCATAGACCATAAACTGCTTGCTCAATGTCTTTTGGATTCCAACTGAACCCTTGTTACGATCGATTTTTGCACCAACAACCTGTCATTATATTGAAAATGAGACTGAAAACCTTATGAATACTTGAAAATCCATTGATATCTTCTAGTTTATTCAGATTTGACACATAGCAAGGAAAACCAGAGACTTTGAACTAGGGAAAATAGTCTTACTATCTAAAAGAATATGAAATAAATACAAACCTGTAAACTTTGAACAGTAAATTTTGCTATTAACTGAATTGCTTCAGGGTAATTATCGACCATAACCAACTCTCCTAATTGGTAATTAGACTTCAATCTTGCTAACAGTCGACAGAATTCGTGATAATTGGCGGCGTCGCTCAACCCCTGCGGATTTTGTAAAATATGTTTCACTCCATTTACCAAGTTGGTAAGGAATTTCGCTCTTTCGGTATTGCTAAACAGTGATCGTCTCACCGATGCGATTTGTACTAAACAAGACAACGCCAATGACGACAATGTACAAGGTAACGAATGATATAAATCGAAAAATAGTTTAAGTGTGGTAAAATCTAAAAAGGCGGGTCTCCAGCTCGTCGGTATTTGTACTGTACATAAGTCGTCCGACGATTCATCTGTTGATGTTCCAATAAAATCGAAAGTTAAGCAATTTTGAGATAGGCGTAGGAGTTGTGTTACCAATCCGTGTTGATTTTCATCGTTAAAATTAAAATTTTTACAATTTTCTCTAGCTGTGCCCAGTAAGGTACAAGATAATCTAAAAATTTCATATAGTTGACTATCTCGAAATGAAGATGCTATCTTCCGTTGCTTAGTTAAAGATCTATTTGCCTCTACTTCAGAAATTTGATTCATTTCACATGTTAGCTGAGATAATAACTGTACACCAATCATACAATGTTCCACTGATCTCTGAAAAAAAAAATACTTTAAAATAGGAAGGAATAGAAAGAAAACAGGTTCATTAATTTTTCGTTTTTGCTGTACAGGGTGGCCCATTTTCGACACTTTTATCAGGCATCTCCATAATTGTTAGTGCTATATTTAGGCGTCATCTGCTTTTTTTTGGATCACACTTAAAATTTTTCATTCAAATTTGAAAATGGACAATTTCAGAATGAATATTTTGTTAGTTAAAAGAGATACAGAGAAGTGTTTATTGGAAAAGATTGTTTCATAATCTGCCGTTTTGAAAATGAGTATAAGGGGTTAGATAAAAAAGTTATCGAAACTAACCCCATTTTTTTTACATATAACACTGCATATTTTATTCCAAAAAGATAGTATAATAAATACTCTTTTCAAACATATAACACTAAAAAAATTCAATATTGGTTCAAAAGCTTTTAGTTAAAAAATTTCAAAATTCAGAAACATTTTTGAAATCCTTGATTTCTTGAATCATTTGAACCTTTTTTAAATTTTTTTAAATCTGTTTTGAATTTTTTTTAATCGTTTGAATCTTTTTTTCATATCATCAAATTTACACATATACCGCTTCATATTAAACGTGAACGAAACTATGTCTGGAGATAATAGCAATAAAAATGCGCATTGTGAATAAATCGCATACTGTGTTAGGTAGGGGTCGAGAGTTTGGATGTCTATGTATAAAAAACAGAGAACTCAACGACTTGATAAGTTTTGGATTGTGTAGCGGACGAAATACAAATAGCCAATGAAACAAAAGAGGTGGCATTCGCAGTTTTGCTTCGAGAGCGAGCACATACAATTTTGATGTATTAAAATTAATTCGCGTAATTGCGAAGATAAATAAAAAAAATGTGTAAACTGTTTGGCAAACCTTCACAGTATAAGGCTTGCACATTACAAACAATTGGAGGACTTTGAGAAATCCTTTATGATTAGTTCAAAACTGCAAAAGTGAATCGAAGAGACCACAAAACCATAACATTTATTTAAAAATATAAAATACTGTCAAAGGATCCCAACGTTCTTGATAAATTTAATCACGATTAGAATCTTATCTGTTAATTACAGAGTAAATTATCTGCAGTACTACAACACTTGTAAATTACATTTAATTAATGTACATAATTAATTCCTGTAATTGAACCCTTGTTACAACACGCTGCTGTGAAAGCCTTCATGACATTTGATGTGTATTTTAAGGTTAAGTTTTTGCAGGTCTACAATCGTATGTTTTTCATATCAAACCAAACAGTTTGTATAATGGATCTTTGATGGGCAACAAAAGCCGATTGGTATGAAATAAAATCAATGCAGACATGCATCAAGTTATAAATCAATCCTGGATTGTACGCTAGCGACTAATATCTCGGATAATACACAATCAAAGATCCATTATATCAACTGTACAATTGTGGACCGGCATCAGGTGTTCTGTGATCGGCTCGGTGATCGGCCTTTCTCCTGGAGAGCAAATCTTCTGATACAGCCATAGCATGTCTTGGCACGAAAATTTCAGATATTGCATCAAAATTTTGAGCCTTAACATTTTTTTTGATAACTACCTTGGATACATGTAACACATGACGTATATGATGGCATGTATATTTTTTGATGCCTTGAGTTATGGATATTGTAGCATGTATTGGCATATGACAACAAAGTTGAAATTGTTCCACAGCATGATGAATGTATTACATTTGCATAGTGACAGTGAGGTGAGTAATTGTTTATCATAACAATGGAAGAAGTATAAGTGGGATTTATGCTTATACTTATATAAAATATTTAAAATACATTCTGCTGTTCACATGCAATTCAATAGCAAGTAAATGGGGACAGTCCAACATACCGAACTTTTATTTTACCCAAAACACTGACACTGACATTTCACAAGTAACATAAACAAACAACTTACCTGTAAGAATTTGCTAATATCATTAACGACGTCTCTAAATACAAATTCGTCTTTGTGAGTATCAAACCAGCCTAGTTTGGTAATCCTCGCAAATAAAGTGACTAACGCCTGTACAACAAAGTTTGGTAACTTGGGCCTTGTTGCTAAATAGTTTAGAACATAATTTCTAATATCCACTCTTTGTTGTAAACTTAATCCCTGCGCACTCCGTGAAACTAACTTTGTTAGGGTGGTCGCAGCGAGGAGCTGGGCATAACAGGAATCTCCGCGATCTAATAGTACTTGACATTTTGTTAAGGCCTCCGGTCCGTCCTGAAAGACCACCAGAGCTTTCTCTGCGTCCGCTCGAATTGTACCATCTTGGGATTCATACAGTTGTTTGCAAAGCAATTCCAACTGACGAATTTCCTGCAAATATTTTCGAGATTTGAGCACAATAAAATGAATGCATACCATTTAAGTAATTATTCAATTAAGAACGTGTCCATACATAATATGATTGCCTTTCACGAAATAGAATTTTGAATGGAAAGATATAAAAACAAAAACAAAAGTAATTTCATGTGGACGTGATTGTTACTTTATGTGGAGGCTATGTGTATGTATTGTGTCAAAAGTTCATGCACATCCCGCAATTATTTTAAATTCTTCACACCCTCGAATTTCGACAATACGGTCGATTTAAAGTCCTTAATACAAACCTGCTCGTCAGCCATTTTCAATATCATTCATTTGTCGAAATTACGTTTTTCTTGGGATAATAAATTTACACCGAGAAGCTACACTATTTAGCATGGTTGAACTGTCGGCGCTACTGTTTTTGCGCTGCTTAAAAGGGATAATTTGTTTCTCGGCTCCTATTGGTTTAAATAAGCGCGATATTCAAACATCAGGGTCAAATGCGTTTACTAAACCATAACCACACATTTGAAGGAAAATGAGCATGTAATCCTTTTTGTTATGCCATCAGCCCATCGGCCATTGAATAATAAGTTCAGATTCTTTATTCAATGGTGTTATACTAACATTGCTAACTAATTTGCTCCTACTTAGAACCGAATGATATAAGATATAACTACGAGGGTTGTCCAGAAAGTAGCAGACGTTTTGAAATAAAAAATGTTAAACTTTAAAAGAAAATCTATTATTATATACATTTGGGGGCTACACTCTTGGGCTATTTATCAACACAAGCGCCATTCAAATTGAGGCACTTATCATAGCGTGGCACAAGTGTTTTGATTCCAACATTTTGACATTACTATTAATTATGGTAAAAAGTATATAATCAATGACATAACGTAGTAAAACAATAAGTTTTTTTTTCTCCTACGGGAGAATATTAAAAAGTATATCGCTTAAGTACTGACGAGTGACGGGATACCTGCACATCAGGCGAGTGGGTTATGCGCAGATTTAAATTTTCCATTATATTTTAATAAACAATAAGGCTTACTCGCATTTATTTACCTTTATTTAAACAACAACAATACTTACCTAATTATCGTGAATGAAATTAAACTGGACACTTTTTCTTACATCGCATCAATAACTCCTCTATACAGTGATATTTATTTAGAAGTAGACTTAGGGATTTATGTACTTTGTTTTTCCCTATGTCTACTTTCAAAAGACAAAATCTTTTCTGAAGGGCGCCTAATTTTATGCATCCAAAATAACTTTTTAAAACAAATAAGCATCTGACTGTCATATTAATTATATAGTTTGAATATTGTTGCTTTGACTTCACAGAAAATAAATTTCTTAAACTTAACCTGTTACCGGTATTATACTAATTGCAATATCAACTTTTTCTTAAGTTGAATACATCGCACACGAACGAAAATAAAAATACGGAAACCAAAGCAACAATATTGAAATTAATTAATGTGATAGCCAGGGCATCGATTCCCGAAGTTAGTCGATATGCTCCGTGATGTTCAAGTTTAGCTGCATTCCCGAATCGTGGACAAACTTTATGCGCTAACCAATCACAGACAAGAATTGAACTGTCATTTGTCAGTTTTGTATTTTGTTTTGTTTTTGCATTATGGATACTGCTATTAATAACCAGAAAATCCTCGAACAATTCCATGTTTTATTTCACAGAAAATATGTGAATTTATAGGTTAGGGCACTGAATAACCTCTATAGCAAAACAGCTGCAAGATCCGTCCTGTAGCTGCAACTGCGCATGACTTTCACGCAACGAGTGGTCTAGACCAGTGCGTTCGATCAACTTTTCGCTCGATGTGGTAGGTTCGAGAATGCAGTCACATTCACGTTCACATCAAGATCAGCCGATGTGAACAAAACACATCTTCGGGAATCGACGCTCTGATCTTTATTTTTTTTAGTTATTTTGGTTGCATAAAATTAGGCGCCCTTGATTTTGTCATTTAAAAGTAGACATAGGAAAAAAGAATACACATAAATCCCTATGTCTACTTCTTAATAAATAGCACTGCTCGCCATAAGTACCAACACCCAATGTACCTTTGATCAATTTTGATGAAATAAGAAACAAGGAAAACATGATACAATCACAACAAATTCGAACAACGCTAATAATGTGTAGATCATTCCATCGATTCTTGCGCATTCAGCTAATGGACTGGGCATACTGAAAATGTGTGGATCGATCATAGCCTGTGATATACATATAGTCCTATACTGTTTACAGATGGTTGAAAAGCATTTAGCCTCCGGCCCATCATAATCCACATGTGTTAGATCCAGCGCAGGGGAATACCATGGAAGTGTTATACTTACACTTAAATACTTTATTAAAACAAACCATGAAAAACATTACATATTTAAAAGACGATGTCAGTCTTCATAACATTTAGAGTGTTGTCACTTTTATATAAAATGATACAAAAGCGCTGTTGCCAACATAACTAATGGCCGTTTGCACCGACAAATTTAAGCGGGCTTAGCTTAAAATCCATGCCCATCATTATCTCAATAATCGTTGCCATGGATTTTAGCTAGACTCTACTTCAATTTGTCGGTGCAAACGGCCATTAGAGAAGCATTATTATTAGTGTTACTTTAATTTGTATAATGTTCAAATTTTCATTGTTTCTTATTTCGAAACAAATGCAACTGACCTGAAAATTTCATCAAAATTGTTCAAAATACACTGGGTGTACAGTTACTTATGGCGGGCAGTATATAAGCTAACTAAGTATATACAGTGTGTCCTAGGTAATAACGCACCATACGGAAACGGAAATGTATTTTTTCGCGAGGGATCCAAGAGGCCTTTGAAATTAGCGTTCAACGTATTAGGTACTTCAATCCCTTTCTAGTATCAGGCTTCAAATATACATATCAAAGGCCTCTAGATGTTTATATATGTTACCGGCAAACTGTGAAATTCGGCATTTTGCAAAATCCCTAGGCATTTTGCGAAATGGCCAATGCAGCAGGCAAAGTGATAAATGAAACTCGAGTTCGCACTTCTCCTGCCTCTCTTTAGGGATTTCGCAAAATGCCTAAACGTTCAGGCAAAGTGAGAATGCACGGATATTTTCCACAGATTGCGCGTACGGGGGTGCCAAACGTAAAACCGTCGCGTTAGTACTTTCCCCCATCTGATATATTCTCCACAGTAAATCCAAACCTTGACTCAACAGAAAACTTATAGATGAAATGCAGTCTAAACGTGAGCGCAATATTTAGCGAGTACTTAAATAAAATCGCAATCGTCGCGTCGTTTACCATCCAATGGCAACGCTGTATGCGCAATCTGTGGGAAATGACGAAGCCTTCGCACTTTGCCTGCATGTTTAGGCAATTCGCGAAATCCCTAAAGAGAGGCAGGCGAAGTGCGAACTGCAGCTCCGTTTCTCACTTGGCCTGTTGCATTCGTCATTTCGCGAAATGCCTAGGCATTTTGCAAAATGCCGGATTTCTCAGTTTGCCGGTAATTAGTCACGTAGAAATAGGAAGGAGAGGGGGGGTGAAAAATTCCGCTGCCTACAGGCGGCAGATACCTAAATACGTCCCTACCAACAGCCAGCGCTCTTGCGTCTGAAACTGTAGCATGTCTCCATTGTCGTTCACTTGATTCTCCAAAGATTGCGTGATCTATCACTCTTCTTCCAATAGATTCTGCTTTCACCTGTTAATATAATATAAATAATACACTTTTCTATTTTTAGTATAGTGATATTCCTGTCGAAGTAGACATAGAGATTTCCTATGTCTTCTTTCAGTCTTCTGAAACACGCCTAATGTTATGCAACCAAAATAACTTCTTGAAACAAAAAGATCTGGCAATCACATTAATTTGAATATTGTTGCCATAATATAACACAATACTATGTTGTTGCTTTGGCTTCACCGAAAATAAACTTAACCTCCTTTAACTGTTATCGGCAGTATACCAATTGGAAATGATCAACTTTTTCTTTAGTTGAATACACACGAACGAAAATTAGAATTAGAAACCTTTTTATCATGTAAAAGTACATAGGAAATTCCTATAAAAAAATCCTTCTGTCTACTTCTACGCTTTGAATATATAGTTCTACATGAATATCACTGTATATAGAGATCTGTTTAATTCCAGATGACAGTTAACCCTAGTTGTAAGCCAAAGGCGACTTTTTATAGAAATTAAACATGATGATGAAAAAGCCTACCCACATGTTTGAAGGCAGAACTTTCCTTTGTACAAAAAACCATACTACCTACAATAGTTTATTTGTATTAATTTATACCTTAATATTCTCATTTTTTGTTTTCTATAAATCTTTCATTAGGATTTTTATATTTAATATTTATTTGCCAACCTTCATAACCTTTGAAATCATTATATTACTTCTTCACTTATCTTTTACATGCAACAGAAAAGTACAGAATGGGCGAAACACGTATTTAGAGAAAGTATATTTACACACAAAAACTATCAATTTTTGCACCAAAAATACAACAAAATGATATACAACTATTACATACTACATTTATACAGAAAAAAAATTTATTTAGAACTTAATGTACAATGGACCTCAAATCTACTTAAGCAATTTAAACTTTGCGTAACTGTAGCACTTAGCATTACAATAAAATAGGTACACGATATTATACAAAAATTTGAAATATAATTAGTATAAATGTATCACAAAAGCTGTTATATTAACGTTTTTTTCAAAAATCTGAAAAATTGAACTACACAAAGCATTTCCTCACCTCCCACTAGTACCTGTGTCCGTAAAATAAATCTAGGTAATTTATGAAAAATCGAATCTGGACAAAGTTGTGTTTCACTTCTCGCTTTTAGAATGTTTGACTGGAAGAATGAATATTTATTTATTATTCCTCTCTTGTTCTGGGTCCTCAACAGGCTTGCACCCAATTACAGCGACCCGCATAATGCTTTTTAGAGGTGCCTCTGAAGATAATGAAACATTTTCCCAAACTCCAGTTAACTTGCTTAAGCAAAATAATCTTCAAATGTCTGTCTGCATCTAATCCTTTAATACTTACTAGGTTTATTAGAAATAAAATCGCCAATTCATTCCGAAGTTACATTAATTATCCAGGACTAATGGTTTTAGATTTTCAATATAACCGTTTTTTTCGATTTCAAATTTGATTGTGCATGGTGCAAATGCAGACACCACTTTTAATGTTCTTCATCTAAACTATACTACACTAAAATTGAAAACAAACGTCAACTGCTATATAATTACTACAAATTCCAATCATCCATTTAAATTGTGAAATGATAACACAGTATCGCAATCGGAAATCCTCATTCAATTGATATTGATGGTTTATTTGTCCAGTAAAATTGATTTTTGCAACATATAAATATTGTACATACAAATTAATGTTTATTATATTTAAAGCTAATTCAAAATGTAAGGCAATACTTGCAGCAACAAAAAAACCATTGTAGCTTTAAAATGTCAACACTTTGTAAAATGGGTTATTATTCTATATTGAAATGAAGTGGATAATACCAAAGCATCGGTATTCCACTGAGTTTGAGTTTCCATTTGGGTTAATTGGAAATAGTCATAGTAAATCTGAGAAGGCAACAATATGTAAAGACATCTCCATTAATCCATAAAAAAGTTGAAAAATGGCATTTACTCTTAGTTTGTGCCGTAAGTCTAATATGCCAATATTGCCACTAAAAATTGATCACAGAAGTTGACTCGGGAGTAAATTATTCTTGTAAAAAATGCCTTGTTTAAAGTATGAGGTATGCCTTGTGCTTTTACTAGTAAAGCATTTACTAACTTTTTTATTAACAAACTTCAATTAATAATCATCTCTACACTCTACATTCAAACTTATTCTTAAAATATAAAAATATTGTTTTATACATAATAAATAAAGTAAATATCAGTAAATAATTTTATCACATATTAACGAAGGAATAATTAAATATTTGTTGCCAACACAACAACAATCAGATTTATTATACTCCTAAACAGAACATAAACAATTGTAAATGACACAAAATTACAAACAAATAAATAAATTATTTGTGTCAAATTAACAAATAGTTATTGAATGGTAATATTCTTCAGTCAAATTTTCTTGTATGCCCCCCCAATTAAATGCAATTAGTGACTCTAATGATAAATTAGATACAAACTAGAACAAAGAAAAATTAATTTCAATTAGAAATTAACGAAGTAAGTATAACATCGGTTAAAACTTTATATAAGTGTAACAGTCTACTAACTAAACCTAATAAGAATTTTTTAGTTTAATTTGTAATATCCTAAAATCAAATTTTTGATACATTTCAGTAAGAGATAAATAATATATTTAGGCATTAATTACAACAGTCCATCCACAGGATGCAAATAGGTTTAAAAACACTACTTTCCTTAAATTAGACGATCGAAGTAATTTTGACAGACAGTTCGGACCACTGACGACATTCAGTGATTTACCACATCACTCAAATGCTGTAAGATGTAAATAACGAATTAGTTCTTTAATGCCCGTTTGCACCGACAAATTTAAGCGGAGCTTAGCTTAAGCGTCCCTTAAAATCCATGGCAACCATTGTCTCAATAATCGTTGCCATGGAGTTTAAGGGACGCTTAAGCTAAGCTCCGCTTAAATTTGTCGGTGCAAACGGGCATAAGTGACAATTTTTATACTACTTTTAACCCTTAAAGAATGAACCTGTATGTTTGAAACTTGTGCATTTGATGAGTTTGAATTATTGTATACAGGGTGTTTGGTAAACATGCGGCAAAAATGAAAGAGGTTATTCCTTGGACTATTCTAATGTTATTTTATCCTTTGATGATTTTTGAAAAAACGCTTCGTTGCGAAGATACATGTGTAATTTCTGCCCTTATTACTTAAACGGTTGTTTGTGAAATCCTCTATCATGGCTCATTATTCGAATGCGTTTTTTCAAAAATCATCAAAGGATAAAATATCATTAGAATAGTCCAAGGAATAACCTCTTTCATTTTTGCCGCATGTTTACCAAACACCCTGTATATCTAATCGGATTAAAATTAAATTAGATATTCAGAAATCCATTCTTTGCTGGGAAGTAGCTGTACAAATGCAAAATAATAAACTCCTTTTTATGGTACATATGTCAAGACAACTGATTGTAAATGAATGAGACACTTACGTGATGGGGAACGTGTTGCCATTTTACTTGGTGTTGAATCTACTGATGAATTTAAAAAATCCCATATAAGAATAGTGTCATCGTGAGAACTGCTAACTATTTGAAACTCGTCAAACTGCAGTCTAAACACTCGTCCAGTGTGTTCCTAAATAAAATATGATAATAAATATGTTTCTACTTTGATTACTATAATAAATCCTCAAATTACTGTAACTTGGATTGTTATTGTTAAATAATAATCTGGTTTATTCCACATAAGTTTGGTTGTATGTTATTAATTACAGTAATTGTAGCTTTGTTTTAGTCGCAACTGTCGTGGAGATGTGTCCTTGGTAGGTACAAAATGAAAAATTGTAATCAGCAAATAAATCGCTAAACGATATAAAATTACAATGCAATTAATTCCATTGCTATTTATAAATTAGTAAACAGAACAGCCAACAATTTCCGCCCTCGTTTTGTCACTTGTTATTTACCACCGTGCATCTTGTTTACAAATGACCTTACCTAAATCACCCTATATAACTCAAGACAAAGATATTGCAGTATAACCTTTGCTCAAGATTAGATTTAAGATTGTACTATGGTGACTGAGTCAGTGATAACGTACAACAGAACTTATACAGGCTAAACCGCAGTATACTAACCACTAAAGTTTTAAGACACAAAGAACTTGCAGGCACCCTAGGATCCAATGCGGCTAGAAGATCCCATACTTTAATTTTCCCATCGTAGGCTCCACTCACTATTCGCTTAGAATCAAATCGAATACATCTAACCAATTCTTCATGACCCTCTAAAACCCGTATGCACGTACCACATTCAATATCCCATAATCTGAAAACATAAGTGACTTTAAACGCACTAAAGTTTAGGCGCCCTCTATGGAGAAGCGATAGGTGTTACCATTATGACAATCGAATCCGTTGACTGAAATCTCAGGAAAAATATCGATTTTTAGCGACATTAGCGTCGCGCTTGGCAAAATTTGGCAACTTGTTTTAAAGGCCCCTCTTAAGGGGGTATTCCACTTAAATTTGACTTCTATCTGACGTATGATGGGTTGCATAATACTTAATTGTAAAGAAATGGTTATGAATAGAGGAAGATTGAGGAATTTACCTGCCCAACCATTGTACAAAGTAAACAAGTAATTACGCTAATTTACCCAGGTCATTAGTCATTGTGAATTTGTGATAAATATGCATATACAATTAAACATCGATAACAAAACGAAAATCATTGTAACAATGGCTAATCTTCAATAATTTCACTTTTCCCAATTTTTCATAAGACGTATATATTTATTTAAACACAAAAATTACTCCATGAATTGTATTGACCCTATCTGGAAAATAACGCATGTAAGCGAATAAGTACCTATAATTAGATATCTTTAAAAAATGCACATCTAAATTCCAAACATTTATTAGGTCCAACTTGAAACCCTAACCTTTTTGACGTTATGTAAGTTTATTTCAAAACCAAAAGCCCCTAATTCTTCGTTTGATGGCTGAAGCCAGTCATGGTAGAAGTTATTGCCTAAATTTACAATTTACAATTATAATCTCGGTATCATTGTGAACGTATGTACGTCTCCTTTATGTACAGGTGCAATTAGGCAATAATTGTACCTATATTATTAGACCAGGGAAATTAGAACGATTTTGACCGAAATGCAGTTTTCAGCAGTGTCCAGAAAAGTCGGAAGAAAAATGTTGTACTGTACTGCTTGAGCCATTTTATAAAAATTCTGTAAGGGGTGCAAAAAATATTCATATACATTCATCATCATCACTATATTCGCAAAATTAGGGGTGTTTTAAAATTTCGTCTAATTCAGGAACAACAGAAAATACATGAGAACTAACGCTTTTTCCGATAAACGCAATAATGCGCCGCTAATGAAGTCAGACCCGCCGTATGATGTGTTGCCTATGGTACATTTATAAATGGTAAATGACTTCACAAAATCCTAAAAGTTTTCGTAAAAAATTTCGAATGAATATTTCGTCTAAAATTTTAATTTATTTGAAAATTTGGTCTATGGCTCTATGGTTTGCTAATGTTTTTTCTGCGTATGCTAGAAGGAGATTTTTGAAATAATTTGTGTTGACACCATTTTACCTATAAAAGTTCGCTTTTTTGGCAGTGCTCTAAAAAATTGTTTTTTCTTAAATATTAAAATTTTGTTCTGTAGCATACTTTTTAAATGTATAAATTACTCGAAAAAAATTAGCCCCCTTTCATCTCATGTTTTACGGAATTGAGACGAAATATAAATGGCCCTATTTTTGCATAAATGTTGTACTACTGGAATACACCCTTAAGTAAAAACATCTACTGCTGCAGTAGTAGGATACATAGCATTCAACAATTACTTACACCTACACAAACTCCTTTTAAAATCACTAAATTTTTCCTTAAAAAAATGGTTCCAATACTTTTTCTTTAACAAAGAGATGATTACACAATCGCTTCATAAACTGTTCTAGAATCCCGGTCTAGTTTGGCATAAATTAAATGTGTACGTATATTGATCTCTAATACATACAAATCCTGAGCCATTATCTTTTAGTTTTCGAATATTAACATACTTTGTGTTTTGATCAGCTTTGACTCTATGTGAACGAGATGTTAAATTTGCATAAACAACACACTTGTTTCTTTTGCCTGCTTGATGTAACACAATAAAATGATACATTACGGATACATAAAGTAAACAATATGCAATTTGCCAATATTCTTATACTAGGAGCGTGATGTAGACACTAAAAAGACTCACTTACCTTATTGTATTGTCGGAACTACCACTAACCACTAATCTATCCCTATATTGCAGACAGGCAATGCCTCTTTTATGTCCATTTAAAGTACGCACAAATTCACAAGTAGAAGTGTTCCACACTTTTATAGTCCGATCTCCGGATGCAGACACAATATATTTTTCATCAAAGTCCACCACATTTACAGCTGCCCGATGCCCCACTAGCACCCTCCTCAACGTGATTTCGCTCTGCGTTGTCATATCCCATACGGCAATCGAACGATCCTATAAAATCAGTTTCTTTAGTACACAAAATTAAATTGCTATGGCCACAGCCAAATTTAACTTTGAGGCTGTGATCTAATAATTTTATTCACCAAATAAATTCCTTAGTTACGCATGTACTAACAATGGTATCCAAGGATTTTATATGCCAAACAGTCATTAGAATAGATATACTCGAGGGTATACTCTTCATTTTAGGAATGTAGCGGTAGAAAGAATAGGGAAGATTTGACCTTCCTGTGATTGGTTAAAACATGAGTTTTACGCTGAAAAATAAAACGAGTGAGCTGGTATTTTTTGTTGCCAACTAAACTGTCGAACTGTCATTAGCTAATAATGTCAAAGATCCAAGTGTGAAATTGTTGGATTTATTTCTGTTCGCAATACTGGATATTTCTACTTTACAATAATTTGGTACCGTTTTATATTTTTCCTGTGTGTGCTTATCTTCAAACACAGCGCCATCTGCTACCTTGTTGTAATGAATGCAGTATAGTGATTAAATTTCACTTTTAGTAAATGTCCCTCGAAATGTCCCATTCTCGTCAAAAACGGAACGTGACACAAATTCTACTCGAGATTCTACTGTGAAGGTAGTTGGAGTCTCTCAAAAATAAATCCAAAAAAATGTTAGATTACAATATTTTTATTGTAATAATTTGACCAGAGACGGTTAGCCAATCAGAAAACGAATATTTTATTTGTAAAACAGTCAATTTCTTATTGTTCATGGATGGATGAAAAAGTCCAAATCACTATTTCTAGCTTTAACTTCTAAGATAATTAGGCATCTATGTAACTTTTGATTATAGGTAACTGAAAACGCATACATAAATTTCAGTTACATTCTTTTTCGATAAAGTTATGTAGACTATTCATTTGTTTAGCTTTAGTATGTAGGTACTTATCTAATTTGATAAGAATTCTTTATAAATTACAAATGTATTCTCATTGTTTAACCAGCTATATCTATCATGTGTGAATCATTTGTTTCCATGAATCCTTTCAGACAATGAATAAGCAAGTATTTTATTGATAGTTAATAATTTATTATCTTTGTGATTGTTTGAAATGGTAATATCTGTCGTAATTTAATTATCATATTTTTTGCTATTTCAATTTCTATTGTATAAGCCCATTTTACTTTAGAACATATGTAAGATTAGTTTTTGTAAAATAGCGAAAAATAAATGATTTTTTTGGTTATATGTGTTTTTGTTTCTTGTTATAACATCACAAAATGTATTCAAGAAAGAACCAAACATCCGCAAAGTATAAAAATTATCTCAGGATGTTCAAAAGTGAGTACCATCATAGACAGCGAACCTAAAATGGTATAAAACAGAAAATCACAACTGTAAATTATGAACATTAAACATTTTAGACACAGTTCATCGAGGGTTTTGAAGGAAGTAGACGCATGGAATTCTTAAAACACTTTCACATTTGATGTTCGGACTCCACCAGCAAAGACGCCCACTTTCGCACACTCCATTCTCGATATATAATTATAATCAAAACAAACAGGAGACTAGAGATGCTGAGTTGATCTTTTAAATTAATAAAATTTAGAGCTAACATTAGGATTCGTCGTCGTGCGCGTTTCATGTTACAGGTAGGAACGTTAAACGCGTCGTTGTCAATTAATTGATTGTGTGTTTAATCGAACCCAAAGTACAACCCGATCGAGTTTGCATGTAATTTTTTTTATTCGTGCCCAAGAATTATATCAGGTGTTAATTAAAATTTGTTTAGTTAATTCTTTGGAATTGTCAGGAGTTGATCTTTTAATTAAATTAATAAAATTTAGAGCCAACATTAGAATTTTTCGTTACAGTGAATCCGGCACTTGTACAGGGTGGCTCAAATTCGTGGCATTGGGATCTACGTAACGGTCAGAGATACAGTGTAGATTAAATGGGAACAAAGTTGCCCCTTTTTGTGACTAAAAAAAAGCATTTGAAATGTTTGAAGAATGATTGAAAATAACTGAGATATTATAGAAAAACTAAAAATGTCAAATTTCGTTTTCATTTTCCTATTAGCAGTTAGCACCTTCTATGGACACTTTTTTTCATAGAATCTGAATCTGTTATCAGAATTTCCATAAAACGCTAGATGTAGAAGCGACAGGCTACTACTTTCTTATTGGATATTGGATTTTTACAGAATGAGGTAAAGGACAAAAAAAGAAATTCATTTGAATGCATCGCCATCATAGCCATATTCGAGGCCATATTAATTCAGCAAAATATAGTTCTCCATGAATGTAAAATATTTTATTTTGAAATTTGTAAATTGTAAATTTATGTATTTAGTATGACGGCATTATTTTGCTTTCTTTTGTCCTTTTTCATACCATGCGCTATGGCGTCCATAAGAAATAAAAAAGTAGTAGTCTGTAGCTTCTACTCCCAGCATGTTATTGAAATTCTATTAACAGATTCAGATTTTCCAAAAAAAAGTGCTCATAGAAGGTGCTAACAGAAATCGTCCATTTTCGACCGTTAAAGTTACGGAAAATGAAAACGATACTTCACTTTTTCAGTTTTTGATGATATTTTCAAACGTTTCAAATGGGTATGTTCAGTCACAAAAAGGGGCAATTTAAATAGATACACTGTATCTCTCACCGGAGATCCCAATGGTGAGCCACAAAATGGAACCACCCTCTACAGGTCCGCCAAATCACTATAACGAAAAATCCTAATGTTAGCTATAAATTTATTAATTTGATTTGATTTTGATTTGATTTAAAAGATCAACTCCTGACAATTCCAAAGAATTAACTAAACAAATTTTAATTAACACCTGATATAAGTCTTAGGCACGAATAAAAAAACTTGACATGAAAACTCTATCTGGGTTGAACTTTGGGTTCGATTAAACACACAGTTAATTAATTGACAAAGACGCGTCTAACGTTCCTACCTGTAACATGAAACGCGCACGACGACGAATCCTAATGTTAGCTCTAAATTTTATTAATTTAAAAGAACAACTCAGCATCTCTAGTCTCCTGTTTGACTTGATTATAATTATATCTCGAGAATAGAGTGTGCGAAAGCAGGCGTTTTTGCTGGTAGAGTCATAATTTACAGTTGTGATTTTCTGTTTTATATCATTTTAGGTTCACTGTCTATGATGGTACTCACTTTTGAACATCCTGAGATAATTTTTATTAGAAGACAGTAAATTATCGTTACGACGAAAAAGTTACTTGAAATTGAACATTTACGTTTCCGTTCGTTTTTAACAACAATGAGGTTATGTTTGTTTACATTAAAGGCCGATTCACATTATCCGTCAGGTCACAATCTGGTCACAGTGCTGTCAATTATTGTAGCGTGTATTTCTTAGGAACAAGTTCTGACCGATAATGTGAATCAGCCACAAAGAATACACGCTGTAATATTTGACCGTACCGTTACCTGACCATGACGTGACTGATAATGTGAATAAGCCTTTGCAGCGTCCTCTCATTCGTTCAGAACCGGAAAAAAGCATAGTGTGACACCACACTTAGCAGGAGCGGTAACAACGCATGGTGTGACACCCACGAACTTATAAATTAAGATGGACTGCTAATGCTGAATTAACAAATGACACCTACATGGGGGCCGCCATGATGTGCACTCACATGGCGCGAAATTCAAATCGACTAATAAACAAGCATTAACCCAACATTAACCTCACGTTTTCTAAATAAATTACTGTGACACATGTCATTTTCCAAGATTGCAATAGTCTCAAAACTTGAGCACTAGGAAAATTCCCCTAGAAAATAACTAAAATGTTCACATCATGGCGGCGCCCATGCTAGGGCCATTTCTACCTCTATGCAACTGTTTGATCAGCAGTCCATCTTAATTTATAAGTTCGTGGTGACACCACACTAAGATAGTGACGCGTATTTAAAGCTTCCTGTACTACACGTTTGCTATAGAAGCTCTTTACGCGATCCGAATACACCGTAAATCATGCTTTGCATACAAGTCATTATCGATACCGCTGGTAAAAAAATTCAGTCGACTTCAACCAGACGCTTCTTCGTGAAGTCACACCAAAAACATTCGATAACCAAACTTTAACAATAAAACTTCGTATCGCAAACGACCACATAAAACCTTTTATAAATCACGCAAAATTCTACCAGATATGGCGTCTTACTTCTAGCACCTCATCTAAATTAAACAATTTAGAAAAGTGATACGATAAAACGAAAATTACGCATCTACACAAATTTCTAAAAAGGAAAAACAAAACAAACACTGAAATACAAATTCAATTGAAACGGCCACACTTTGTGTTTATTCATAAAAACCCATCAGATTTATATTTAAAAAATGGAAATTATTTCACATACAGGGTGACCCAACATGATTGATGGTGTTGAAGTCAAAATAACTTCTACATGACGACTACACAACAATAGAGATGCCGCTTTATTCATCAGAGAAGCTTGAAACTTTTAACTGCAAATAATAGATGAGCGACTTCTTTCAGCCATTTTGTTCCAATATGGCGGAATTACCTGATTCACGAACTTCATCGAGATATTTATGAGTTATCAACCCTTAAAGTTTGGTCGAAATTGATTCATAATTACGAAAGTTAGTGTTTCTTGGAAGTGATATATAAAAACCTATAAACATACTGGTACCATTACAATAGGTAGATAGAAATCTACCTAAAACACAACCTCTACGTACAACTTTAATTGATAGTTGAAAGTTGCATTTGAGAAAAATGCGCAAAGATTGTTTTATTTAACCGAGGTTTTAACATAATCTCCCAAAAATTTGGGTCATAAAAAATCACCCCCAAGTCTTCAGTCCAAAGCAGTTATGGCCTTGATTTATATGTGGACAAACCACAAATACACTAGCTTCTTGGAGAAGTAAATGAACTATGCCTACTTAAAATATTCACCACTGTCTGCAAGCCTTGTACGTCATGAATTCATTCCAGCAAAGTGTTTAAATGTGCAGAGAGCAAAGCAAATGTCAAACATTATGCTGATTAAATGGAAAGGATTTAAAACTGCAGAGTTCAGGCAACCCTAAGCGGCATGTGATGTGAAAAGTGGACTTGAATTAAAATTCTCTTCCAACACTATACTGTTGTTTTGTTATACCAGTGCCTCATGTAAATTTATTCCTATGCTAAATTTGTTTCCATTCTGGCAACAATATTCAAATCCATCAAGAACACTGATACGCATTATACATTATCTGAACTATTTTAATCGCACATGACCTTAGCCTTAACACGTAAAACCTAAATAAAATCATTTCCAAAATTTACTTTCCCTTAATCAAAGGTTGTGGATTTATGAAAGACAAATGATTAATAAAATAAACATACCTTCGAACATGTTACCATCATCCCATTATTAAATCTAAGATGTAGGACGGCTTCACAATGATGTATAAGTGTATTAACCATTTCGCCCGTTAGAACATTCCAAACGCGTACCGTCGAGTCACTAGAACCGCTAATAATCACTTTATCATCGTACTGTAAACACAACACTGAACCCGTGTGTCCCGTCAACACTTTCGTTGACTGTAACGAATTCCTATCCCACACTTTTATAGTATTATCCCTAAGACCAGAAACGATTTTTTGATCGTCATATTGCAGACAATACACGCCTTTACTATTTTCAGATCTACAGTTGATTCGTTGAAGTATATGCCTACCCATCCTCCAATTGTTTTCTATGCTATCAATATCCTGAATTATCTTCGGATAAAGTTGCCGGTAGAATGAATGAGATCGATGATTTTCTCCCGGTTTCGGTTTAAATAGATACTGTATCCTGAAAAAATTTCAGTATTAGTTATTATACGCAGAAGTAAAATAGCATACCATTGCCGTCTTTCGGCTAACCCCCGCCAAAGAGAATCCGTCCTGACTTTACGCTCTATGAGTTTCTTCCAAAGCATTCCTTCCGATATAACTCGTAGCCATTCCTTACAAACTAATTCTGCTGCACAAAGACTCTCCGCATCCAAGTATGACAAAATATTTTCGGCTACATGATCCAGCCCTTTTTCTGAATGAAGAAAGTCGTAAGTCGAAATTGGACAAGACGAAACACGGCGTTATACTTACTTGGTAATAATGATATAAAATCCCTTTGTAACATTGGTTTTAAATAAGAATCTATGTGACCGTGTTGGTAATGACACATTCTTGCCAAAAGATTTTCTACAAATTCCACCTGATCTGTTTCGTTCCATTTTTCAAAATACTTTATACACGCCTCACGTTCGACATTAAATGTAGAAGATGGTTCTTTTTTTCTTGTGGGATCATATAGTATTGTCATTGGATACTGTAACAAATACATATTTAGCATACCTATTTTATATACAGGGTGTCCAATGAGAAACTAATGCAAAATAGATTTTAAACAACTATTGTGATTATTCCACCTAAAACATTTTTAGTTGTTCATGATTTCCGGTTTTACTATAGTCCGCCTCACCTTGAGTTTACAGTGCAAGCTCTTCTGGTCAACAACGATGCCAAATAACATTAGAATATGATTTGTACAAAACGGGCGGCCCAGGATCGATTCCCAGTCGATGCAGAATTTTTTAAATTTTATATATTATTTAGCATTTCTACATTTCGCCAAACTAATGACGAGCGTTGGATATAAGATGTCATACAAGCACACAGGCCCCTCTATTTCTATATAGTTTGTAGGCTATACAGATAAAAATTAATGTCTGTCTGTCTGTATGTCTTGTGCCATCTGATTGCAATGAAACTTTGGGGAATGGTTGGACGTATGGCCGCGAAGGTTTCTGTGTTAATAAACACTTAGTAAAATTCCCACGGGAACGGGGAAAAACGGAATTTTACGTTCTACAGTAGAAACTGCGACAGATATAGACTTAGCATTTAGAACGTGGGCTTCTTTGAAGGCAATGCTCATCTTTTTTAACATCTTTGAAAAAGCAATCAATTTGCTGTACGGTTTAACCGGAAGGGATTCCAAAAATTTCAATATGCCATCGGATAGATCCCGCATACAAAGTTATATTTGACCATTTTTTGAATCTCGCCAAATAAAAAATATTTTGATGGGACCCTATTATCTCGAACACACTGTATAACATACCAGTAATTCATTTATCTTGAGACGATTTAATAACTTGATGGAATCATCTTTTTTGGAAAGTTTCATACAAAGGTTCTACAATTCTAAGGAGGAGAACAGGTGGTAACCTCGAGGATGACTTTGACCTCGACCTTCACGGTGACCTCTTAATTTTGAACAGACAGTTTCTTATTCATCCATCGCTTTTGTGGTAGTACATATGGTAGCTGATACGCATCACACCACACCACAATTAGCAGTAGAATCAACACGGCGCACGGTGGAACGACACTGTGTTAAATGTTGCACATTTAGCAAAAAATAAAATTCATATAGTGATACATTCGCAAATAATTGCTCCGTTTTCAAAAAAAGTGGCTGTGATCATAGTAAAAAAAATGACTCTGGGTCCACATGTGAATGTTGTCAGCGCCTCACTTGAGCTCAGACTTTATTTTTCACATTCTGAGGCACTTTATCTTCATCCCTAAAGTTGTTACACATTAACAATTTTGAGTGTACAGACAGATACTCCTTGTCCATATGTTCCATTTGTGAGTACCCTCTTCCAACACTTAGTTTTAGATATATTCGCATTTGAAGTTTTCACGTTCCGACCCTCCACAAAAATGGTTTATTCCATGGGAAGCGCTTGCAAGAGATTAAAATGAAATTAAAATACCCTGCAGCACGTAAAAAAAAAGAATGAATCTTGAAAATAGTTCAAAATGACAATACAGTTTTTAATTGGTTTCATTTTTAATGGCATCAGAGAACCTGATTGTGTCTAGTTCGATAAAAAAAAGTCATAATTACACTAAAAGAATTGATTTTTCCACACTTTGTAACTGTGGCTCGAACTGTGGTAATCTGAATAGAATGTCACACAAAAATAAGTCTCCGAGATATAAATAAGTAGTCTAACCACTAGTGCTGCCAAGTTGGAAATAATTTAATATTATCTGAAAATTTGAAGTTGATGGCTGGTGCCTCATACAGGTCATACTTGGGTAGCTGACCATTCTCACGAATTATGCAGCAGTGTGAACAATTTTAACATTATTTAATGTTTTATGAAGTCACCAACATCCTACAAATATGTATTTTGTTCTACAATGTGTCCAAAATAAGGATGTCTATCATGGAGATCTCGGAAACCATAGAAGATATGACGATGGTTAAATTAGAGTAAACTTGGGTAATTAAACAGTTATTATCATGCTGTAAAGGAAACCAAAAAATTCCGACTACTTTCGAAGATATGCCAGAAAAACCGAAATTAGCCAATTTCGATTTTATTTTTTTCTGGCGTTATTTGAGCAGATACAGAAAATTAAAAAACACGTTCTCATTGCCACTTTTTGAGCTTTACAAGACAGCGTTAAGAGATTGTCAATAAAACGTTTTGTTTTGGAGAAATCATCAACTTTATTTTTTATATGGCCCATCAAGAAAGTACATACTCTATTAGCAGCATTTTTTAGTACGAATACAATGATGCATAGCAAAAAAAAAACAATAAGTTGGAAACTCTGTTGCTTACAACAGGATGGTGCGCCCCCGCACAACGCCCTAATGGTGCAAGGCAAGAATACCTCTCAAACAAATTCCCTGGAATATTTCTCTGAAATAATGTGATAGATATCATTTGTTTACTTAAGAAGTAGGATTACAGAGAAAAAAATGCCCACTTCAATGGGAAAGATCGAGCGAGGGAAAGATAGTCTATTGCTTTCTAGAAAAAATTGATGGTTATGCTTATGAATCTTGGAACGTCCTTGCCATAGCTATTTGTAGTGATAACCGAGGTGATAACTGCGCTTCTGCTAAATGATACATTGGTAGTAAACAAATTCAATCTACCTACGTCACATTTTCAAAAATCCACGCATTCACGCATAATCAGCATCTTCGTGAAATCACCTTCAATACACGATGCGATTAGTATTGAATAATTTCTTCTTAAGCTACCACAACCAGACTATAAGTTTTGCAGATTTTTCCATTCCCACCATACACCAAGTATTTAAGTTGCCGAGGATGCCACCATAAACAAAAATCTAGTAGCTATCAGGTGATTTCGGTGGCCACGTTACTGGACTGACCGTTCCAATTCATCAATTTGGGAGAGTAACGTTTAGGTTATCTATGAAGGTACAGTGGAAGTGTGGAGGTGTTGATTATTATTACGCTGTCTATGCTGTTATATTGGAAACATAAAATACTTACTTAGAAGATCTACCTATAATTTCATTTTTGGAAAGGGTTTTACTTGAAAGCCTTGTAGCTCATGACAGTGTGCAATGTAGTTACCTTAATAAGAATCAAATGACCCATAATTTCATTTTTTCAAACCAAGAACCCAAAATGTCCCAAATTTTGTGCCATTCCTTAAATATTGTAAAAATATGTTCAATGTGTGCTGATATGCAATTTTACCGTATTACATGGTCGGTTGAAATGTAACATGGATCTTTGTGATTTTTGTGACGACAGTAGACTGTGCATTAAGCCCAGGTTGGACTGGTAAACAGCACACTATACCGGCACCACCCTAAATACATAATTATAAACTTACATAAAACCAAAAAGTAGTTTTATGACTAAAATTTACGTAGTTCAAAATTTCGTATTATAGTGAAGTACCTAAGTACAACCATCAAACCATCACTGCAGTTATTGGATAATGAAAATGTATTGCTCACTGAGAATGAGAATTACAATATCAAATCTGTGCATAAGTGCATATAGTTTTTGCATGATAATTTCGGTTTAATGCTAAAGTACAAGATGTAGGGAAGTTCATGTAACAATGCTTTGTTTAGAAAAGTCACTGACCTACTTAATTGTTCATTTCAACATTTCTTGCAGGTTTCTATTGTGTCATTTTGATCATGAAAATATGGTAATGGTTTAATAAATCATGCTGTCCACATCTCATTCATAGAAAATAAAATCATTGAAACTTAGAATTGGAAATTATGAGTCACATTGAGAGGTAAAATTTTATTGATTTGATATTAATAAATGCGATCCATATTTCATTATAAATATTGAAGGAATCATTCAAGGATAGGAAACAAATGTGATATCCTCACGAGCATATCATCTGTCGAATACTAATAATTAGTGAAAGTTAATTATCGATTAATACTATTACATTTGCCATCATTTTGATTGTACCTACCTACATTTTGGGATTAAAACCGATAGTCATCACTCATTTTTCTTTACTCTCAACTACTAATTACCATATTAATATTAATTATAATTTGTGCTACTTTAAATCTTTTAATTTCAAAGGAATAAAGCACTTAAAGTAGTAGCAGTGTGACCATCCTTTGTTTGAATGGGTCAGAAAGTTTGAACATGTACGTTAGCAATAAATAATCGCAAATTTCTATTGCATTAAACAAATTCGTAGGTTGTTGTACTACAATTTTGACAGTTGACGGAGGTTTACTGTTAGCTTATTGGGACAACTCCAATTTTATGCAGAATAAATTGGCCCGGAAATCTCTGTGTACCATTTTCACATTTTCCAAAACTACTCAAATTTACGCATTACATACGTACCTGAGAATTACTATTTGGATCTCCTATAACTTTATCTGGTTCCACAGTCTCCATGTTTAGCATTGTAAAATTGGCTATTTAAGAACTAATTGGCAGTAGACAGATTAGTAGTATTACACCGTACTCTAATGGCGAACACAATACACTACACGAGATCTTAAAAATCTAAAAAAGGAGATCTAAATTTTGTTACTCATTTGTGAGCAGAATGATCGCGACAGTTTTGATCACGATTTTGACAATTAGCAACCTGTACAGTGTTGCCAATACAATGGGCGAGGGAGTAAGTAAACTTATATGGCATATCTATACAGGGTGCGTCGGCACCACAGTGAAACAATTTGTTTAACTAATCAAGTTGGTAGTTTGACGTTTGTCATTTTGACTTTCATCGTAAAGCGAATTCCTGTTTTTCAAAAATGGACACAGATAATGATAATGGAAAGAAAAATGTTATTGCTGCTCCTTCTGAAATAACGCAAGCGGCAACAAAATTTTCGTAGAAAAAGTATAGTAGGTATAACGCGTTTTATAAACCTCTCTAGGCACTCGTTATAAACTCGTGTCTAACTAAAGTGTCGTTTATAAAACGTGATCCATAATATACTATTATCATTGAATTTATAGATAGTTATAAATAATATAAATTCAATGCTAATATCTGTGAAACATTTAGTTTGCGGACCTATGTTTATTGTTTATTAAGACTTATTGGCTTCTTTCCATGAGTACTATACGTGGATAAAATATCGAACCTTTTTTTTAAACACTGTGGAACAGAATATACATATGTGCTACAAACAAGCACATTTGTTTATGAATAAACAATGCAAGCACTTGTATGTGATTTGTGGCAAGCACGGTGCACGATCCGTATATTTCTGTGGCACGACCGCGAACCGGGACACCATCTATGATCTAGTCAAGGCAGTGGGCATTTATCTTTTTCTGTAGTTCTCTAGGCCACAAAAACTGTTAACCTCAATCTACGTATACAAAACAAACCCAAGGGGACCCACGATCCACGGTATTTTATTTGAAATCCCCCAAAAAATGATTCTTTATATAAGAAACAAATTTGTAAATGAAGTAACACTGAGGCTTATTTTATGGGTTTTATTTATGTAAATTATTCAACTAATTCATTAAGTTATTACTAGGAATTTGTAGCTATTTGGATTACTTGGAACCTTTCTCAAGAGAAATACAACCCGAAGAAGTATGGAAGTACAAATATCCCTTAAAAGAGAGCTATGTATCTTCCAGAAATTTATGGATGATTATTCTTACATTCCCTACCATTCTTATAGTGAAGGAATATTTACAGAATAAAGACAAGATTGAATTGTACTATACTCTTCTAAGTTTATCGTTAAATTATGGACTAGTTGGCTTTTGGACTCAGTTCTTGAAATTAATCGTAGGCCGACCCCGGCCTAATTTTTTTTACAAATGTTTTCCAGACGGGGAAGGAAGTGATTTTAATCATTGTACTGGTTTCCATCGATCTTATCTAGATGGGAGGAAGAGCTTTCCTAGTGGACATTCGTCATTTGCATTTTCTAGCATGTTTTTTATCACATTGTACTTAGCGGGGAAATTGAAAGTATTTATTGAAGGTGGACGAGGAAATACGTGGCGTTTATGTATTTGTTGTTTACCTCTGGTTTTGGCCACCTCAATAGCTGTGAGCCGAACTTGTGACTATCATCATCATTATGAAGGTATAGTTCATTAGATGTGCGATTTAACTGAGCCATTGAATTGCAGATGTTGTCTGCGGCAGCCTCCTAGGCATAGTAATTGCATATGTAAGTTACAGACAGTATTTTCCTAGTATATATTCATCTAGTACGGGTGTACCATATGCAGCACAAAGTTTAGGGATTGAATCATAAAGATTGTGTTTACATTGATACGTTACAATTCATACTTGTTTTCAAATTACTCTGTATGTACCTAATGGTGAATGTGTGTTCTTTTAAGTATGTGTCAGCTCAGATGTAGTATTTATTTTATTCTTTGAAAATGGATCATAATTTAAATATGGCAAAATAGTATTGTGCTAGTATTATATGTAGTACCTAAAGCCTCTGAATACTAGTCGTAATTAATTTTTAAATTAATGTATTTAAGAACTGGTGATAGTAACTGAAGGTTGTCCAAGTGTGCCTATAGTAAGAATGTAGTTGGTTATTTACACATGCATTAATTGCCTCCATACGAGTTTGTAAGCCTTTATGTTGACCATAACTGGAGATGTTTAGATGATGTGCATCAGACATTTTAATTGTATGATACTGTAGGTATAGGCCTAGAGGTTGTAGGTAGTAGAACTTCTGCAAACTAACATTTGAATTCAATTAATTTAAAGACTGATCCGAGGACTGATCGAAGAATTAATCATATCAATTATTGGATTTTTCATCGGCCAAATGGTGATCCCCTGGATGCCGTTCATTGCTATACTTAATTGGTGTGTAACAAAACTTATTCAGTATTTTATTATTACTATTTCCTGTCATGTTTATTTAGTATTATTGGTTTGTTTTATTAAAAATAAACGTTCATCTAAAAGTTTGTAAATAGCTATTTATGTAACAAGTTGTAACTGTCTTTGGTGCACTAGATGTGTATTTGTCCAATGCGCGCACACAAAGACAAAATTTGCAACGTGTTGCGTACAAGGTTTTTTGAATTTCCGTATTCGGCGCCTCGTATGTAAAACTTCCGACTTGTCAGCGAAAACTCACTTCTCGTCCTTGGTAAACAATATACTATCTATTGTAATGCTACCCCAGAAAATTTCACCATACTAAACAATGTCAATGATATTTCTTATAAGGGATAAAGCCAACATGAGAATCTACTACGAACCCTATGTTAGTTATGCTCATTTCGTACCCAAGGGACAAAACAGCTGTAGTGCAGGATTGAGGAAGTCCTTAGAGTGCGATAGAATGCAGAAGGGATTTGAAGGATATTTCATTAGGTATATAGGGTACTATCATTGAATGAAGAGATTTATTATTCAATGGTACTATGAACTGCTCCTCCTAAATAATACTACAAACTAGTAATAAAACGAAATTGTGGCATGTTTATGAGGTTGTGCAGTGCAACCTCCAACTTATTACAAAGAAATGCAACCTTTCCCAAAAGGAAGTGAAATATCTTTGTCATCTGGTATCGGATTATTTAATTATGTTTACCACCCAAATTTTTTCAGTACATATTACCATTGTATTTATAAACGAATAAATACAATGATATTATACCCTATACACAGGCTGTTTCACGCAAACCGTTACCTAAAAGTATTCAGACTCACATTAATAATTGAAATCTGAAAACTTGCATACTAACATAGTTTTTCATGATCCATTGAAAGTAAAAAAATTATCTTGATTGTTTCACTTCTGGTTTTACCGCATGCGGATAGCTTATTTATTTTAAATAGAACATCCTATATTTTATTGTATTTTCGGAATCTACCTCAAGATCTAGTCGTTTGATACACATTTCCCTATACCCAGCATCAAAGATTTTCAAGTTATTCAAGATTTTTGACGTTTGACTGTTTCTCTTTAGCGCCCTGTACCTATGGCTCAGTCGACTTGAATATCAAAAAGCCTTCCACAATCAGTACGTGTTGCTACCATATATGAACGATTTAAATTTTGATCGCTCTTCTACAGGGTGTTTTGAAATTAAATGGTCAAAGTTTGACAACTTCAAACCTTAAAAAGTTGATTTTCTCAAATGAAACCTGCTGTATTATTTTGCACTTTCAAATGTTGAAAAAAATTCCACATCGATCAATTATTACATTCCCTATATCTACCTGGGGAAGACTGACAGAGTACAGGCTCATTCAGTCAGCTGTGGTGTATAGGTATAGTATAGCTTATAGCCTGTATAGTTACATATTAGTTTATTAACACACAAGATATATAATTTAACTTAATAACCTCGTCACTCAACACAAAATTTAAATGTAACAATATCTTTTATTCCACCTTCAATAATATCCCCAGCTTTAACGGGTCCCATTCCTGGTGGCGTTCCAGTTAAAACCACATCATTTGGTTCTAATGTTATATATGCACTTATGTATGAAATTAGTGTAGGTATCGAAAATATAAAGTCCTTTGTATTTCCATTCTGTCGCAATTCTCCATTGACACAACTCCATAATTGAACGTTGTTCGGATCACAAATTTCGTTCTTTCCAATAAATCTACTAACGGGGCATGCAGTATCGAAACCTTTTCCTAATAGCCACGAAAGTCCCTTACTTCTGGCTTCTTTCTGCCATTAACCAAAGTGAAACAAGAGGGGCAGAGCACTTATCAATACAAGACCTACCATTTGACAAGTAGCAGTCATGTCAAGCGCAGCACAATAACCACCTACCATTTCCATTGCATTAGATTCTTTTACAGCTTTGCATCGCTTTCCGATGACAACCCCTAACTCGATTTCTTGGTTGACAGTGAAGCCATGGGGAAGCTATAAAGAATATACAATACATTCATTCCTCTTGATAGTATTATGTAACTAACCTTTATTGCTTGCCCTTCTTCGATATAGGAGGATGTTGGTTTCATAAACAGTATAGGAACTGTGGGTTTTTCTATATTCAAAATTTTGAGCATTGGCCTATGAAGTAAAATTTAAACCCATTTGTAACTTAGGTATGTAAAGAAAACTTACAGATAATTTGTGGTTGTTGCAATCACTTTCTTACTATTCTTTACAAAATGCCGCAATTCTGCGGATGCCATTTTCAAATATGTATTACAAATAAAAATAAAACATAAAAGGGAAATAGATAAGATAGATATACACAATTTTATTTGTGGTGGGATTTTAAATTTTTAACGTCAAAAATCAAAATGCAGTGTTGCAATATTTCAAAGTGGAACATTCAAATACAGGATGTTATCTAATTTTCATTTAAATTCAAGGTCACTTAAATTAATTAAACGTGCAAAAACCAAAAGTATCATAGGTTCCACCTTCTATATACAACCTCCGATACACACATTTTTGAGAGCACCAACTGTTATTATTCATTGTTGTCCTTGTTGGCCGCGGCTTCAAATTTAATGGGTTATGCGTGGTTCCCTGACAAACCTCCTACAAATTCGCAATAGAACAGTTTTGATAGTCGCGGCGGGGAGGAGTAGAAGTAATTGCCAAGAATACCAATTTAGGACAGTGGGAGAACCACACCATACTTTCTCTCACTAGTTCTACTTCCTGAAATCCAAGAATCAGGGCCCCTGCACTCTCTCATGAGATGGAGTGTTTGGAGTCAAGGAGCTATAGCATGGCGAATAACGGCACAGACCATGGGCGCCACTACTAAAGGGCAAAGAGCCCAACTAGGATTTGATAAATATCGCTAATTAAATCAATTTTAGAAAATCAATAAAACCATTATACAGTCACTTTTTCTGTCCCATGCGTGATTTAGCTGCGTAGCCTATTGATTTATTTACTAATTTAAAAATACTTTGCTCCCCCGCCCTGGTGTAGGCCGAATATGATATCGGCAACTGCCGGGAAGACTTGTCGAGTGAGAATCTGAATTTATAGGTATTTCGAAAGAGAATCGAAAGGAGGTGGGTGACCACCAAATGACACAAGAGCTGATTGGAAAAAACGTTCACACACAAACATAATGATGAGTAATGGCTGCACAATATTATTCTATTCGACCTTGAACTATAACATTTTTAGGTACCATAGCCATTGAATTTATAACTATTATAAATTCAATGCCATAGCAACTATAACATTTGAGCGCAAATTTTACAAGCTATCAATATGAATGAAAACTACTCAATAAGTATAAAGAAATTTATTCATGATTTAAATACAATTCAAATACATGTCAGTTCATAAACCATTGAAACACCAGTGCTGTTTTTACTTAGAAATGTAAAAAACATTGTGTGCAATACATTTACGATCTGTGACTAGAATACAGATAACTTTGGTCTTTGAATTATAAGTAATAACAGACCTTTTCCTTATAAATTTCCAAAAATAAATAAACATTCGTTTTCGAATTAAACTAACCTTAAAAAAAGTAAATACAATAATAATACAAAGACGGAATTACTTACACTATCATTTCTTTATAAAGCTGCTATACTAATTTGTTATTACTATAAATAAAAATTGCATTTTAAAACTTAAAAAAAATTAGAATGATATTCTAACAAATAATGTACTGCGCAAAACGTAATTCATGGCACAACTGTTATAGGTTATTTAAAAAATGAGTATTTCGCTTTGAGTTGTATTACACGTCCTCTTAAACCCTAAAAAATTTCAATCAATTATATTATCGACAGTTTTCCATTTGAATATTTTTTTACAGAACACATCCAAAATAACTTGAATCGATTAAATCATGTGTGAGTGTGAAATATATATTTTCTTTAATAAATCTTTAGTCTTTAATGCACAAATGAGACAGGAACTAATTGTAGTTTAAGATGATGCTAAATTTGTATAAACTGCAAACTGCTTCAATTACATTGCATGTACATTTCAAACAAATAAAGTAGCATTAACAAGATGGAAGTACATTCATACTAAACCCTAATCGAGACCATACAAAAAGTAAATATAATTTGTAATTTAATTGTATGTAATGCATTGACATTTAGCATCTACGACAAGATGAACACAAGTTTATCAATGGACAAAACATAGTATCATAAGTTACCCTGTCACTTACTGTATCACAGCAAATTTTATATAAGGATCAACACAGAAACTAAAGTTAACTAAAACTAATTTATAAGTAATTGTTGTGGATAACTTTATCAACGCAGCACTTAATGTCCACTGATCGTCATGCTAAGTGAGTATTTATGATTCTCATTAATTAGATGCCCAATAAACGGTTCTGTAAAAATATTACAAATGGAAAACTAGACACCTGTGCATAAGTATTGCTTAATATTAGGTACCTGAATATTAAAATATAAAACAAAACAGCAAAACTGATGTAATACGATTTGAATGAGTGTTACCAATACATGCAATCCCTCTTTATATTACATATAAAAATAGACGAGTTATAAAATTCCTTAAGAGCTTTTACATGCAGTAGCGTTTCAATCCAATTTTTAAGATAAAGTGCCATGCGTAAAATACATATTAGCAAAATTAGTACAATCGGTTAACAAATGAGCGTCATTACAATACTATTAAAAAAAAGTTACATAATTATTGACTTCCAACACTATGTCCTGTCGCACTTACACTCGTAAAAGAAGAAAATATCAATGGCTAGCTTCAGTACAAAACTGAAAAATATTATCACATCAATATGTCTATATATTAAATGCATTTACTTACAGATTACATAATGAGGCATTTTCGTTGCCTTCGTTTTTGTGGTTCTGGTCTTAGTACTGCACGAACAGCTTCGTCGAATACTTGTTTTAACCCTCGTTGGGTGAGAGCAGAACATTCCATGTATTTAACTGCCCTAACCTTATTCGCCAATTTTTGACCTTGCTCCCTTTTGATTGGGCTTAATCCTTGATCGGCTAAGGAATTTAACGTTTCTCGATCATCCCTTAGATCTATTTTGGTACCTGTTACAAAAAATTCATATGATATGCAATTTGCAATGCATTTTCATTTGCAATACATGTAGTTATTGTTAATGAATTTTTCCTTAAGCATAACTAACTAAAACAACGTGTTTTTTCTTCCATTTAAGAGACTAAATTGTCACTTTTGGTCCCAGAGAGACTAAAAGGCGACGAGGAACAAAAAGTGGTAGTACATACAGGGATGCAAGCAGGGATGTTAAACACAACTTAATAATTAGTAGTTATCTTGTATTAATATATTCTGATAACTTGCGCCATATTTTATACTTATTAATTATTATACTGTTTTCCATATATCTTTTTGAGAAATTTGAGTAATTCCTCATAGCTTCTTCTGTGGAGTTTTAAATGATAATTTCTGTGTAGATGTTTTAAACTTAACTCTTTAAATTAAAGTGACATTTATTATTATACCCTCACAATCTAACATGACAAGGTATATAGATTCTAAAATCAAACAAACATTTGTTGTACACAGCAAATTTTATGACACGCTGACCATTTTTGTTATTCTACAAAAAATTTGAGCAAAAATTGAAGTTGAAATGATTTTGGAATTTTATTCATTATTTTCATGACACTGGGGTACCAAATTTCAAAATACCAGAATGTTTTCTTGTTACCCCGTTTATTCTTCCTTCTGGAAATTTTTTTTTACAAAATCGAAAAGGACATACTCAAAAACTCAACTAACGGCTAAAGGTTTTGTCCATTTTTTTGTCTTGCTGAGAAAAGACTAATGACTATTTGCACCGACAAATTTATGGCAACAATTACTGAGACAATGGTTGCCATGCATTTTAAGCTACGCTTAACCCTTTAAGCTAAGCTCCACTTAAATTTGTCGGTGCACATGGCCATTAGAGACTTTTTTGGTTCCTCCACAAGCAACTTTACAGAATTGTTTGGATTCCTTAAATTAAAATAACTACTTTTTTACTTTTAATTTTGCAATATTGTTCGAATTTAACATTTACAAATGATATTTACTAATTGTTGGTTTTTCATTGCTATTGTGTAATTTATTATTGTATTATTAATGAGTATCTATCTTGTTATTATACTAATTAAAATACTATTGCTATTGTTAAATATTTTATGTATAAAATTGCCTTGGCCGTCAATAAATATTATTATTATTATTAATATTATCTTTTTTGTATGAACTTTTACATTAATTCCTGTAACTTTGATGTTTTTTGACGCAAGTTCAGGTTCCAATAGGAAATGCTATATCAACCGTAAGACCTACAGTTCGAGAGTCATTGTCTGCACAAATGAATGGAGCAGGGCCTCTCGAATCTTTTATAATACCTTGGTTTACCTATTTGTAAGTTTGTTTGATAAAATCTCCCCAAGCAAACAGGAAACCATTGTAGGGTCACTATTATTTTATACATACAAATATAAACAATTTGCCAATGTATATCCCATATGCAAACCGCATTGTTGCACGAACATGTCTGATAATCCTGACCTTGGTGTTAAGAAATGAGATTGGTTAATGCCATTGACACTATCCAATCAAAGTATAAACACACCCACAGCCAATCAAATCCCTTAATACTCGGATCAAAAATAATCCAGACTGGACCCTAATGAAATAATGCCTAAGCTTACCAACTAGTATCATAGGTGCATCGGGACAATGATGTTTCACTTCTGGATACCATTTGGACGTTACATTTTCGAATGAGGAAGGTGATGCTACACTAAAACATATCAGAAAAACGTCCGTCTGAGGGTACGATAAAGGTCGTAGCCTATCATAATCTTCTTGTCCAGCAGTATCCCATAATCCTAAACTAACGGAGATTCCATCAACGACCATTGGAGCAGAATAATTATCGAAACTAAAAATAAAAAACATGAAAGGACTCTACACAATAACAATATGAGTCATCACGAAATTCATTAAACATGGTCATAATTAAATGAAGATTAATTAAATCTTAAGGAATCTCCTTATTTAATAATTTAAAGAGAAACTTACACAGTGGGTACATATTCGCCTGGAAAGCTATCAGTCGTATATGAGATTAACATACATGTTTTGCCAACAGTTCCATCGCCGACCACTACACATTTTATTGGACGCCCGGAAGACATTATAATAATTTATGTCTACAAATAAGACAAAAATGTAAAAATACAAACCTAACCTACAAAATGGGCTTGGTCTCGGAAGGTTTATTTTTAGCAGACTTACCGGCTTTATTTAAAAAAGGTTAACTATGCACTAGACAGTTTATGAAAAAAAGGACATTTAAAGCTTACTATAAACTAAACGATCGACCTAAGTCTTTAGAATAAACTCTTCATAAAGTTTTCTTTTGAAATTGACAAACAAAATTGCGGTATCACAAGAAAGTTTCATGACACTTTCAAAACCCATAGAATAGAACTACTCAATTCGATACATCGACTGTCCAGTACATCGAATTATTTATCATTTCCGAAAAGAAAAACGTATGCAAGATTAAAGAAAAATTTATCAGTTGCTATGGCCTCACATGACTTCTTTAAAAAAAATCTTACCGAGGGCTCTTCATGTGCATAGTTACGCAAGTTCCGCGGTTTGCTGGTGGGAAGGTGAACGCGGCACACATAGATTGATGCGTTTTTTTTAAATCGAACATAGGGAAATTACATTGCATACAAAAGCATACAGTGAGTTTGCGCAGGTGTGTGGTTGGTATCTGTTCTAGTCACAGCAATTTTTCGCGCATTTACACAAAAATAAAAAAATGCGCTGTGTGACCCGTCCGTCCGTCCGTCCATCCATCCGTTGGAACGCTACTATGTAGTTCTTCATCTTAAGAGCTATTGTTCTGCTTTTTTCGCTATTTGGTTCGTTATGGTGTCGACTGTCGAGGCTTGCACCAAGGAAGGAATTTTTTCTGCGTTTAGAGATAAATAAGTTATTGTAAAAAAACCATAAAACCATTTTTATATGTTCCATAATTTTAAAATTTTGCCGTTTATTAACGATCCTAGAGATCGTTTATAATTTTGTATTGCTCTCTGTCGTCTGTCTGTTGGGCTGTCCGTCTGTTCCTTTGTCTGTCTGTCCATCTATCTGTCTGTGTGAACGTAACTAGAAATGCCCGATCGGTTTGACATCTCCGTTAGTTATGAACTGAATTGCATGAAATTCAATATGAGAATATAGCTTTAGCCATATAATACGCAATGCCAAAAGGTGAGTCGAGTTGAATCGATTCAAAATTCACAGTGCCCTTTTCGCATCACGACCATTTATAAATCGAATTGCAAACTTTTTTATTTATAGAAGTATTTATAGTTATTTATGTATTAAGGGCATAATAGTGATGTTTATATTCTCGAGGGCGACAAGTTAAAAAGCTGGAGGGCCTATGGCCCGAGAGCTTTTTAGTCGCCCGAAACTATACGAAATAAGGCCAATCTTGTGATTTAGTAGGTATTGACAATTAATAATTGACATTTCTAATTTTCAATGACTTGCAAATTTGTTTTGTCATTAAGTATAAATGAGTTACTATGGTGATACTTAATGCCCTAGGACATAAAGTGGTACTTTATGCCCGCGTATCACAGATATAAAATGTGCTATTATAGGTTAGTAAGACATAAAAAGAAATTTGATACATATAGGCACTTGGAATAAAGGAAAATCAAACGCCAGTTTCAAAATTTGTTTTACGCATGCGCAGTGCCAACCTTTATTATAACGCTATCTTTCATATTTGTGGCCGGATTTTTACGATTCTAACAGAAGTTGCATCTTACAAATGAGATATGAATGCAAGTGGAAATTCGGTTTTTGTAAATCGTTTACAATTACTTTTTATATTTTGTGAGAGAACGCGCGCGCGTGATGGAAAATTTAGACATTATATATATAGCGATGTCATACATTACTTTTACTATTCTATAGTAATAGATTATAATTGATGGTCCAAAGCCAAAGGTAAGTAGGTACTTATCGTCTTAATAGCCATTCCGATAATTAAATAAGCAATAAACTTTCCAGAATACAGGCATTATAACTAAGGTACTTATTTACTGAGATACGTATGATTGTGATAGTGATATAAATTGACTTTTACAACGCTTTTAGGTACTTACATAAGTACACAATACAATTTCACAACTTTGATGGGTAGCCTGTACCCGGATGTTGATAGTGAGTCATCTTTGATAGTAACCAAGTCAGACATCATTGAAAAGTCTAGGTACACAAGTAGTCAACTATTAGTTTAGAATTTACTTTACATGTTCCTCAAAGATTCGTTCGATCTTCGAGGCTTCTTTACATGAGACCTAATCGAACTCTTTACCTTCGTAACAGTCCTCGAAATCGATTGTTGGAGTTATTGAACAATTTTAATGATAAAATCGATTTATTTAGTGTATCTCTCCCGATTTTCAAATGGAATACTATAATACTTTTAACTGAATGACGTTGCGTGTTATTATCAATATTTAAATTTAATTATTTCGTGTCATCTACTTAGGTACACGTAGTTGTTAGCTACGATTATTTATTATTATAGTATATTATATTGTAAATTGCCCTAGGCGTAAATAAACATTATTATTATTATTAAATGTAAAAATTCTACAACGCTTGCCAATATATTATGTAGGTAAATGAAGTGTTCTTTATATGAACATCACATTGTAAAATTGTATATTCAACTTTAAGAAAAAAATCTAAGAGTGATAAAGAATTAGAAATGTCACAAATAAATCGATTTCTAAAATTCAAAAAAATCTTGAGAACCGAAATCCAAGCACGATGCTTCACATGCTGGTCACCACGTCGGATCTTTGTAGAGGGCGGGTGCCGGTTATAAGCATTACCTGGGTGATTGATTTAAAATAATAAGAGTAACCACTATCCAGGCAGTATCAATATACATATACCCCTACAATTTTATCCAGAAATACTTTCCCAAAGAATAAAGGTGATAGATTTACATGTACCTACTTATGTAGGCAACCCATCAAGCCATATAGGAGAATCTTCCCTTGCCGGTTTCTAAATCAATAGTTCAGTTTGAACTTTCATATAGAAAATTGGATCATAATAATAGTTGATAACTGATAAGTAAATCACTGGAAATGTGTCCACATTAATAAACCATTAGGTCGAAAGTTAGAGGTCGAACAAATTTAGCCCCCTTTTTTTTAAGTACGTAATGGAGCGACGATCGTAGTAAATTACTTAAGTGATGCAAGATAAGGCTGCAATAGTATATTTTTATTTACTTGTTAGAAAACCGACCTCCCGTACATATAAGTTCATTTCATTACTTCATTTTGCCTCGTACGGTTGCGTAGTCTGCTAATCTTCAATCCCGTACTTTTCCACGCCACTTGCAGCTGTGAAAATGCCGTACAAGAAAGTGACCCATGTAATTTTTGATATGGATGGTTTATTATTAGGTAGGTGAATTGTACATTTTTTTACTATCGCAAAATCGTTTATTTGTTGATTTTTTTATCTGGCCACGTTGTCCTTTTTAAACATGAATGTATATTTCTTTCGTGATGTGCGCCACTGCTTAGTAGTAATGTGAAAAATTACAAGGTTCTTAAACACATGTTCAACAATACAGTGTGTCCTTACTGGCTGACTCTAGATATACAGTACACCTAAAGATTTGGTTAAAACTGCCATCTGACGATTAGATACATCAATTGTGAAAAATTCTGCTTTTACCACAACGTTCCAAACTTGCATTTTATATACATTTTTTAAATTAAAAAATACATATTCCGCTTTACTATTAGAAACAGTCCTTGAACTACAATAGGTACTACCATACCATTGTATATAAATGTGTATATACAATGGTATTACACAAATTATCTAATTAGACTTCAGAATTTTTTTGATAGATGCAATCTTGAATAAAACTCATTAGAAGGCAATAAATTAGATTTTTCTATGCAACATAGAGCAAAAAGGTAGTTCGTTTCAATATCCTAACAGTTAGCAACTAGAAAAAAAATTAGAACAAATGGGCGCTTAAAAAATTTAAAAAACCAATCCTTTTACTTACTGATACAAATGTAATTCAGATTAATCCATATCCATGGTATTTTAGAAAGTGTCGATTGTTAATAACTGACATTCCATAAAAGTTAAATGCAATTTGATTAATTTATTGTTTTGTAGAAATGATTCATTGTAAATTTTCCAACCACATTGGAACGCCACTTTCTACAGACTATAACAGTAAAATGAGGCTAACTACGTAAGCAGACTATTTTTTAACACAATTTTCAACCATTTTGGTAAATACATCAATTTGCATAACAATTCGGGATAAGCTCAACTTACCCTCCAAAATCTATATTATGTCGATGGACGCATATCACTTTTTGGGGGTGGGAACTACCCCTTTTTTCCTAAAACTATAAAACTTTACCTATATTAAAACTTAAGAGGTGTGTAAAAATTGGTTCAAATGAGGTATGATTGTTAGATGCTGTGGAACATTATTTCCTCGATTATTTTAGAATATTTTAACCCTTAAAACCCCATTTCAAATATCTCAAAAAAGTAATAATTTATCACAGCGTTTTAACCCTTAAAATTCGCCCCTTATACGAAATATATAATAATAAATATTTATAGCGGTAATGTAGATCACCATGTTTCGATTTGTTTTCAGTTTAAAAAAAATTGCGATGGGTTTTTAAATCATAAATCCTTTATTTTTTATTGATTAAAAGTTCATTAATAATAATAATGCATAGGAAACAGTGCCGACGAAATTACATATTTCTAATCTACAGCTGATGTTATAGGCAAGGTTATAGGTGTATTTTGATGACATCTTGCCAATTTTCAAAATAAGTAACAGGCGTTCTATACGTCATAAAATCGTATGGTTTAATGCCAACTGTCAATAAATGGCAAAACCATGTACGTGCTAACAAAACACAACGCGAATAGGTACATACACTTTATTCCGTATAACTTCCGTTGCACGTCATCATTTTCTGTGACGTAATTACTATGCAATAATGCCAAATCTAGTTTTGAGCGATTTAGGTTATGTGTTATGTCACTTGTCAATAAGACGGTGCATTGTTTGTGTGAACAATCCACACCTTAAATAAAATTAAAATAATTTTTATTATTCATTTCGTTAATTGGAACCACAATATACATCACTTTAATAACTTATGAACTGTACAAATGTAGCATCTCTTTTACAGAGAAAGTACTAAATATAAAATTTTACAGGTTATGTGATGTGATGGATGATATTCAAATTAATCGGAACCATCGGAACTGCTTTCGTGTTCAAAGTTTATAATAATAGTAACAACGTTTTTCTAATTGCTTTTCTCTTTCGTACCACTCGTGTATTACAGTTTCCGTATCCTTAACTGAATTGCGCCACGTTTCGGAAGTTATCGATTGTAGTGATTCTTTTGTCACATGTTTATGCAATTTTCAATGCTTCGTCCATCTCTACCAATGTGTCGATTGTAGTAATTTTTCGCTGTGCCCCAAATATGTTCGATAGGATTAAAAACGCGATGATAGGGTGGTAATCGTAAAACGAAGTAACCGTATTGCTCGGCTAAGTGGTCAATGCCTTATGCGGTACATTTTAGCTGATTTATTCCTAAAAGTATCAACAAGATTTATATAACATCAAATAATTTGCGAACGTACTTACTGTGCAACCTTTTCAACAGTTCGGCTGTAAAATCATTTTCGGAGAACTGCACATTATGATCACCTAACCACACTTTAATGTTGTCTGTTTTCCCGTTATCGAACACAATTACTGACGGGTTATCTAAATTCTTCAGTAATTTCTCTTCAAACCAATGCACAGCGAAAGACGTAGAAAATAATCAAAATCAAATCAAACGAAAACTAAACCAAAAGTAACCTGTCAAATTTACAAATTTAAAAGCGACAACATAGCGAAATGCTACCAATTGTTGCGGCTAAAATAAACTACATGCTTAATGTGTTGCCTAATAAACGAAAGTAAGTTTACGTTGGTACGTCGTTTTCTTCAGGTAATGACGTGCAACGGAAGATATACTGAATAGACCGTATGTAAATTTTGAAACAGATTTTAATTTGTAAAATAGCACAAAAATTCGAAAAGTATGCAACAAGTAGGATGTTGGAACTAACGGTTTTAGTATAATATTCACAATACATACAATAGTGTTTTTATTCAATGCTCTACAATATTCTAGCTAGAGCATTTAATAAAAACACTACATGTTTTCGAGATTTGAGATAAATTTTTGTTATTTAACTTCCTAGCGCGAGTTGGGAAACGGTTTTTCTAAATCTAAATCTAAAAGCGTTATTTTTGGTTTGAGCTAGGAAGCTGTTCAGTCAAGAATTTGTTAAAAACTGTTGAGGGCGTAGGTCCCAAACGAAACTTTTTAGAGCCTTGGTTTATTTACAAACAAATTTGTGTTTGATCTCTACAGCTCAATTTTTTTCATATAGCGGTTAGGTACGTCCTTATTATTATTATTAGCAGAATCTATATATTTACTTTTCATCATCATTTGACGTTTCGCCTGGAACGGCAGATGCTGCCAGTTCTTCTGGCCAAAAAAACGCACTAGTGTACATCGCGTATTTTTGATACGAAATGTAATAATTAACTATCTCCGAAAAATACTGCCTCTATACGGCATGACTGCTGTGCATGGAACCAATGTTTCTGATTTTTCGCAAGGCTGACCAAAATTGCAGTTGTTCTGAGGAAGCAGAGTGATCCCTGCACATTTTGCTCAGTCAATTGATGACCAAGGTTCAAGTTCTGCTAGGTCTTAAACCGTCTCCTCTATTCATGTTCAATGGATATTCTAGTCAATCTTAATTTCTCCATAATTATTCGAGATAAGTATGAACTTTAGGTTTATATATAAAGTCTATGTTATGTACCTATCTGATTTTTGAATGTGTAGGTACCTATATATTTTTAGTTAGCTTAATATTGGCCTTGCTCTACTGAGCATCTAGGTTGTCATTATAACGTAATTAAACAAGCAAGGGATTCGGTATATTCTGCTGTCTCACACAGGAAGACCTTCATAACCTCAAAACTTTTAGTTGGCATTGCTACGTACCAACATGATAAACATTATGATAGTTTTGAGACAATAAATATTAAAAACCAGTGAAATAGGTGATTAACTGTTCCGATGATTTAAAATTTCTGTTTTCTCTGCAACTATGAGTACTTAACATTTTTATTACAGTAATATATGCTAATACAAACAATTTTATGCAATTTTTAATTTAGTCACATCCTTCTTTTAACAATTTTACTGATTGAACAATTTTTTTGTCCTTGTGCCTTCATTTCTTCCATTAATCTGATATTTCCCACGCAATTCTATTAAAATTGAAGATGACATAGTGACTGCTGCGATATACTGTGCTACCAAAACATAATGATCTTCACTATTATTTACTTAATTTTCTGTCTTGAAGATTGCTTGTACATTACATGCAAAACCATTTTGCAGATTCAGAAAAGGTATACGAAGTGATAATAAGCGAAATAGCCCAAAGATACGGAAGAGTATATACCAACGAAGTAAAAATGCAGCTTCTAGGCACTCCCGAACCCGTAACAGCCCAATTAGCTGTTAAAGGGATGGATTTGCCTATCACACCTGAACAGTTTTTGAAGGAATATATAGAAGGCACCAACATTCATTTAGCCCATCCGGATTTATTTGCAGGTGGGTACAAGTACATCCAATAATTGCTTTTGCCTAATTTATCTTACAGGCGCAGAGAAACTAATTCGCCATTTACATAAACATAATGTTCCAATAGCAGTAGCTACGTCATCCTCGTACGATGCCATTGCCGTGAAAACGCAGCATTACAAAGAGCTCTTCAGTCTCTTTCATCATATTTGTTCGGGAAGTTCAGATCCTGAGGTTAAAAGAGGCAAGCCAAATCCTGACGTGTATTTAGTCTGTGCTTCAAGATTCGCTGACAAACCCAATCCTGAGCAAGTGAGTTTTTTCGTTTCTTATTCTTGTTTCGTGTGCTTATTCGTTTATCTAGTGTTTAGTATTTGAAGATGCACCCAATGGTGTAATAGGCTCCGTTCGAGCTGGAATGCAAGTGGTCATGGTGCCTGCAGAGTCAACTAGCGAAGAATTACGTAAACCAGCCACGCTAGTACTAAAATCTTTGACCGAATTTAAACCAGAACTGTTTGGTTTACCGCCCTTTAATGAATAGACATTTATATTCCAACAGTTAGTTCATATTAACATATTAAAGATAATATTTCCACTTATAGACGAACATCATACCTAATAAAAGTTATTTATTTTTTGTTGGTGTCTTCTTTTGTTGGAGTATAATACATGGAATCTAGGAAGCATCGTGTGAAGCCTACTACAATAGAACGATCTGGTACACTTTGTGCGACTCCATATATCGCCATCTGCAAAGGAAAAAGTTAGCAATATAAAAAAAATGTAATTATTTGTGACATAACAAATTGTTAACTAAACTTTGGATCCATTCTATTTATACAGTGTGTTCGAGATGATAGGGTCACCTCAGTACCTCTTATTTAACGAGATTCAACAAAAATGGTCAATATATAGTTGTGTATGCAACATCACCATCTATCCGATGGCATATTGAAATTTCCGGCACCACTTTCGGTTAAACCGGAAATCGACGCAACTTTTGTTTTTCAAATACAATAACTGTGTCTGTTGATGACTTGTGAAATTTGCTGTATGACAACATAAAACATGCATACGGTTGACAAACAAAAAAAGAGAATTTGTTCAATATTTAGAAAACATGAAATCTAGCATGCCGTGGTTGTAAGGATGCGTGGTGTCTACTGCATTACACAGAAAAGAGCTGCATTTTGAAGATTTATTTTTGCTCTCCGTGGTAATGTGCAACGTAAACTTCACTCTGGGAGAAACTTCTTTATTATTTGAGGAATCTGTATACATGTATCGCATGAACTGCAGCTGATAGTTTCCAAAAGTTTTTTTGTGAATTTTCGGTCTTACCGTTTTCGAGTAAATATTTTTACATTATTGTACAACATAAACTTCACTCTGCGGGGAATCTTTTCAATTATTTCTGTCAAGAATTTAGCACATGGCTTTAAAAAGCTTTAGCTTTTAAGAGTCAACCAGAAAAATTAATATTCACCTCGATTAGAAAGTGTTCTAAAGGATCAAATGCCACTTACTACGCATTATGAGGAAACCAAAATCTATAATACAATCAGCCTTCCGCAAGGTTACTTTTTATCTGAATTTACAAACAGTTTGAATCCTTATTTGCGAAAACGCAGTGACCTCAAACTACCAATTTTAAGATTTTTAACGTATCATTACCTTTCCTTCAACTGGAGCCTGCGGTTCCTCCAGTATTTCACCAACAGCATCTCGAACATCATTTAAAAATTGATCAGCAACACCGGGTTGTGTATGGACATGAGTTATACAAATATGTATGCTAAAAATAATAAGGTTTTTAAAATGCATGTGATCGTCCGATAATACTCACCCTGATGGAAATTGTAAGATATTTAAATTCCACCCTAATTTTATCAGACTGGCGGAAAGGCGATAAATATCAAACACGCAAGAACCAATCGCTATTACACTAGTCGCAGGTTGACCAAAGATGTACAATGATTTAATATCCCTTAACCTACATTAGAGGTTACAAATGGCAGTGTTCATGAAATAAGCATACCCTTTTTCTATGTATTTAGTTGTGTGTATAATTTCGCGAGTTGCTCGTATATAACCTTGCTTTCCGAAATTTAACATAGTTGCCCAACACACTGCGATAGTACCACCCGCACGTGACCCATTAACAGTCGGAGAACCGTAAACTCCACCAGGCCATTCAGTCGTTACTGTATACTGGTGATGACGGAATCTGCAAATATGCAGTAATTAGTAAATTGCGTGTCATAGTCCAATCACATGCTACTTTCGATTACTGTAAAGTATAATTGAGGAACCTTTTGGTGTGAAACCATATTTATGAGTATCCGCAGAAATGCTTGTTACACCTGGTAGTCGAAAATCGCATATCGGAACGGGATAACCGGCTTCTGCCATGAACGCCGTCAGGAAACCGCCCAGGCAAGAGTCAACGTGAACAGGAATATTATACCGTAAACCTAACTCAGATATTGCGGAAATGTCATCCATAGTACCGTAGGGAAAGTTGGGTGCTGAACCAACAAGCTGAAACAGATTGGTCCATATTTCAAAGTTGCTAATTTGTGTAAAACTTACCATGATTGTGTTTGAATTGATCGCTCTCTTCATCGCTTTAATATTAACCTGAGTGGTGTGTGGATCAATGGGAACATAACGTATACGTATTTTAAAATAAAGTGACGCTTTATGAAATGCGGAATGAGCTGTGGTAGGGATCACCATCTCTGGTTTTTTAATACCCTTTTCCTCCAGTGCATAGTCGCGATATGCTTTACATGCCATTAAAATTGATTCTGTACCTCCAGTTGTCATCTAAAAACAAAATCATTTTAGATTCTGACCAACGTGTCACTCCTCCAGAATTCCCACTACTATTAAACTATTAGCATCAAACAAAACATAACTGTAATGTATAAAAACATGGCAAAGGAGAAAAATGTTTGCTATCAATTTTTACATCATGCGCATTTTTCGTTTATAAGGAAATAAAGATGTTCTATTGGAGTCCAGTTTAATGTTCCATCTCTCAGTTTCAAATTTTTTGAAACCTATGTGGTATGTAATAGTATTCGTTGATTTATATATTCAACTGAACCTCGCCCTATTTTAACATATCATGCTGTCTCTACTATTAAAAGCACTTTTAATAAAGATAATTATTACCGTCGCCGTTTCTTGTCAGAACTCAGATTTATTATTACGTGAACATTGACTTTGGTTTGTTATGCGTAGTGTATGTTGTAATATTTGTATTTGTTTGTTCAGTAAGTTGTATTTGAATGGTTGTTTGGGTTAGAGGTGGAGATGTTTCAATATGTTGTGTGGTCGTGTTGTGAGCCAGTACTGTTTACATGTATTGATGTATACGAGGAAGAACCCAAAAGTAACGGGAGTGGGGATCAGGTATCAATATTGTTCGATCAGGTATCCGCTAGCGTCACGCCTCTTGAGTCAGTGCGCGTAGTTTGCGTCGCTGTGAGTGCATCGGTTCGCCCGTGAGAATTTTTTTTAGTAAAACGACTTTTTCTATTTCGCAGAAAACGTGATGGCAGATTGTCGAGAGCGGCTGTAAAATTTTGTTTCCTGTTGGGGAAATCGGCTGCGGAAACTATTGTAATGCTTAAGACTGCTTATGGGGATGCTGCCCTAAGTAAAACCAGTGTCTACGAGTAGTTTTCACGTTTTAAAAATGGGGAAATGACAATTGAAGACCAACCTCGTTCAGGACGCCCCACAACGTCAAGAAATGACGAAAACGTCGACAAAATGAATGCTCTTGTCCGTGAAGACCGTCACCGAACCATTGATCAACTCTGTGAGATGTCTAGAATATCATGGAGTTTAATTCAGAGGATTTTATTCGAAAATTTACACATGAGAAGGGTTGCAGCCAAATTTGTCCCTCGCGTCCTCACAGACGAGCAAAGGGAGCGTCGACTTCAGGCATGTTTGGAGCTTCAAAATCAGCTCAAAGAAGCCCCCAATTTCCAAGGTAATTACTAGTGATGAATCGTGATGCTACGGATACGATCCAGAAACAAAGCAGCAATCAAGTCAGTGGAAGACAGCTGGCTCTCCACGTTCCAAAAAAGCTCGCCAAGTGAAATCAAACATCAAGACAATGCTGATTTGTTTCTTCGATTGCAGAGGTATTGTGCACGTGGAGTTCGTTCCCCCGGGGCAAACTGTTAACCAGAAGTTCTACTTGGGAAGTTTTGAAAAGATTGGGGGGAGTATCCAGAAGAAAAGGGCAGATCTTTGGGACACACGCGGCCGGCGCACACCGCCCTCTCCGTAAGGCAGTTTTTGACCAAAAACGGCATGACACCGATTGTCCACCCTCCCTACTCACCGGATCTAGCCCCCTGTGATTTTTTTTGTTCTCCAGACTCAAAAGGGACATAAGAGGAAAGCGTTTTACCACCGTGGAGAAGGTAAAACAAAAATCGCTAGAAGGCTTAAAAAACAGCCCCATAAGTGAATTTAAAAAATGCATTGAACGATGAAAGGATCGTTTGAATAAGTGCGTTGTAGTCAATGGGGAGTACTTTGAAATTCCCGTTTCTTTTGGGTCCCCCCTCGTATGATGTGGGTCATGTGTGTATGTGTGGGTTATCCAGCCACTTTGCGGAGGTGCGCAGAGGGCTTTTGAACAACGGGAAGAGACTGAGGTTGTTCCATTTACGAATAGAAGTGCGGACCTTGAAGCGCTTACTATTCGAGGACGTCAAGGGGGTCTGACCAGGTCAATGAAATATTTGGGAGTCATCATAGATAGGTACCTGACCTGAAAGGGTACATTGAGGGAATAAGCTAAAAGGTCAATGCATGTCTATGGACATGTATGCTTTTGGCTGTACATGGGGCTTGTCTCCTTGACTGGTATAATACTGTAGTGATAATACTGTAAGGTGCACTTGTATGGTGGGCTGCTATGGGCAGGGAACCTACAGGAAGCAGCTGAGCAATGAAAACCACGCCAACTCTGGACATGGAGGTGCTTCTAGGACTAGAGCCTTTAAACTTAGTTGTGGAAGCAGAGACTGGGACGACTTCCATACGGATAAATGAGGCGAGTAGAAGAATCAAGGTAGTTGTGGGCATGGGCGGACCTGGGAGGAAATCCTCAGGTCCGATCCCCTGCTCGCAAGAAGAGATGTGATCCGGACTATCTTACTAAGACTGAAGTATTATTGAATGCTACGTTCACTGAAAACTTCCATCACAGCACAAAACCATGACGGTTGGGTTGCAAGATTGCCCATCATTAGGACACCGTTTCACCTACAAAGAAGACTTAGCTGCAACACCAGCTGAACTAACCTATGATTGTCCTCTCAAACTTCCTGGAAAATTTCTCCATGATACTGCATCTCAGCCACAAGAAGAATTCATTAAACAATTACAAGAACACTTTCGTCGTATTAGACAGACCCCAAATCATTTCACGCGAACGAGCAGCCATTCATTCATAAAACAATTCAACCCATAACTGAGTTAAACCAACATTAACTCGACCACACGAGGGCCCATATCAGGTGATTAAGCGAGGTGGCAAATTTTACAAACCTTCTGTCAACGGAAAACCAGTCAATGCCGAGTTAATGTGACCATTGTTTGACTCAAACCTGCTTACTTTCCAAGGGAAGAAGAACATCTACCATATAACCAACCTTGCATTCTGAATCAGCAGACAGCTACTACACCTGCGCAAGTATGCCATCCACCAACACTCCGCCATAAACTCACTCGAACAGATCAGAGCTTAAAAGTCAGCAATCAAGCAAACCACAACAATCTCTACACAACCACCTGAGCAGGAAGGAAAGTTAGATTTCCTAGTTATTTTTCTACAATATTCAAAAATCTAGGGAGGCTACGTGGTGGTATTGGAGTTGGTAGGACGTATAGTTTTTAGCGCATTATTGCAAATTTATTTGTAAAAAGTAGCTTTTAATCTCACTTTGGCTGGCTGGCTGGTCGGTTGGCTGGCAGCAAATGTGGGCGCGTAGAAGAACTCTTGCAGAAAGGCAACGGGTGTATGTGTATCTACAAGGCCGTGTAATTTGTAAACCTTGGGGACAGGGCTACATGATGTGGGGTTGGCGACATCTGGGCGTCATCCTCGAGCGTAGTATACGAACGTGAAGGTTTTTCAGTTTTTTCCTATCTTCTACCACAGTTTTGGTCCGATTCTTTTCAAATTGGTGTCGTCGGAAAGATGTTGTAAACGCGCACAACTCCTGCGTGGCGGAATTTTGTTTTTGGCCTAGGGGCGAAATTAACGACCCTTTGCAAGGCGCGCGCGCGCGTCTTAGAGAGGTAGTCAACTTCGGGCACCTTTTACCTTCCGTTGCGAATTATGTCACGCGTTTTAACGTTTCGTAAATCGCGAATGGCTGTCTCTCTTTCTCGTGTCGCCAATAGAAGCTCGAGCAATGAGAAGTGCCCCCCAAAAATTAAGTACTATCTTGTGGAAGGTCTTTAGCGAGATCCACCAAAATGTGGGTGTACTATAAGTATGCACCGAAAAAGGAAATGCGGTAGCCTCCGACAAGATCTTTTATTCATGGTTGAGTAAAAAGTGGCTAATAGAATACTGATCTGCCACACAAAAATGCGCTCACATGAGGACTTTGATAATTTTTTAATTTTCTTAGAGTTATCCAGCTACCTTTGGGAGGCGCGCTTATCTTTTAATTGTTTGTGTTCGTTTCAACAGAATGGTGCATCCGCGCACAACGCCTGAGAATTCTTAGAGACTTCCTGGAAATTCCCAGGGACTACCCAGGATTTTCCATATTCATAATACTTATGGGCGAGTTCAAGTCAGATCAGGCACTTAAACTCGAGCTTAAATTTTATAGCCAGCGATTTTTTAATGAAACTGTTTGTTTTAAGCCTTAACTTAACAGTTTGTTTTTGCCAAAGGATTTTGACTTAAAGTGTAATTTGTGTGTGCGCGCAGTCAGAAAAAAAATCACAGATCTAAATCTGGGCGAGATTCCATCGTCGTCTTACCATTTAAAATGTAGAAAGTTTAAGTTTTGTTCTGAGCCTACTTACCATGAAATAAAAAAAATTATCAAAGTCCTTGTGTGAGATCGAAGGGACTTCAGCGCATTTTTGTGTGGCAGATCAGTATTCTATTAGCCACTTTCGACTCAACCATCAATAACAGATCTTGTCGAAGACTACTACATTCACTAACCGTTTCCCACTTTCCGCGTGCACTCGCAATTCGCTTTTAAAGTTAAAATCGTGTCTGGGGCTACCACATTCCCTTTGACGGTAGCCACTTCCGACGTCCCGTTCACCCGCAATTCGCTTCTATTGGCGACACGAGAAAGAGAGACAGCGATTCAAGATTTACGAAACGTTAAACCGCGTGAGTTCGCAACGGAAGGTAAAAGGCGCCCGAAGTTGACTACTTCTAGAAGACGCGCGCGCGCGCCTCGCAAAAGGTCGTTAATTTCGCCCCTAGGACAAAAAACAAAATTTCGCCACGCAGGAGTTGTGCGCGTTTACCACATCTTTCCGACGACACCAATTTGAAAAGAAACGGACCAAAACTGTAGTAGAAGATAGGAAAAAACTTAAAAACCTTCATGTTAGTATACTACCCTCGAGGATGCGCCCAGATGTCGCCAACCCCACATCATGTAGCCAAAGTGAGATTAAAAGCTACTTTTTACAAATAAATTTGCAAAAATGCGCTAAAAAGTGAGTAACTTTTTGAAAAAGCACTATTTAACGTTTCGTTGAAATTTTCATTTCGAAACTGTACTGTTTTCTAAATATGTATGACTGCCTGTAAGAGAATTTAACTAACAATTTACTAGCAAACGTCGCTAATAACATTTTTGTTTTAGCAGTGTAGATTTTTGGAATTAAATTTTTCCCAATCTTACGATCGTTCGCTCGATCGATGGCTTCATATCCATTGATAATGGATAGACCGATTACGATGAAATTTTGCAGGTGGATTCTTTATCAAATTTGTAAATCGGAGTGCGTGAACTGGCAATGAACGCCAAAAACCCTTTTGACAACTCTGTTAGTTATGAAGCGAATTGCATGAAATTTTGTATGTAGGCACTTGGGATAAGAGTAAAACTAATGCCGAAATAAAAAATTTGTTTTGCGCATACGCAATCTGTTTGTTTATTTTTCCAAATATTTAATTGAAATGTTGTCTACATCCTCGTTGCTATTAACAGCGTCAGGCAAAGTACTATAGGCCCCTCCAATAAAAGTAAAACTAATTCTGAATCAAAAAATGTATTTTGCGCATGCACAATCCGCTTTTTTATTTGTTAAGAGATTTAAATGAAATTTTGAATGTAGTCACTTAGAAGAGAAGCAGTTCTAGTGTTCCTAAAAACTCAACGGTAACCAAGATGCGGCATCCATTGAACCTAATGTGACGTTCGATTCTGAAGATCGGCTCCCAGGATTTTTTACAAAACTTAGCCTTGTGTATTTTCTTTAAATTACACTTTAGGTCAAAAGTCTTTGGCAAAAATCATGAACTATTAAGACCTATAATTACATTGAAATCAGCCAAAAGTTACAGATGTGACTTGAAATCCTCCTTATCTAGAAATCCAGAGTGCACACCTGTGAAAAGAATAACTAGCTGTATGCCAAGTGCCAAGATGTTAATAAGTGCGAAAAATCAGGAAAATTAATCTAAGCGATATTATTCCATGATTTGATTTCCAACAAAGAATACAAACCTAATAAAAACATAAACAAATAGATCATAAACCGGCCAGTGTGGCGCAGTTCAGTTAAAGCTGAACTGTGGTGCTAAGGGTCCCTGGTTCGGGTATGAATATTGGTAAATGTATAGTGGGGTGGGTTGGGTTGGTAGAGCAGCCTTGGCTGAAACCCCGCCCACTCCAAAATAAAGGCAAAATAAAATTTAAAAAAACAAACAAACACTGTCGATGTGTATAATAAAAAAACAAACGGCAGAAAATTAGCACAAAATTAGAAGTCAACTTTTTACATTTTTTGGGTGATAACCTGTCGCTTGAGTTTTGAAATGTGGAATGGGTGGGAGCCCACCATCTTAATTGGGCCATAGAAGACCACTCTGAAATTTAATTCATTCAAAACTACCGGTTCATGATTTTCTGGAGTAGATAAATCTAGTGTGTTATCTTCTTGGTCGTTGTTATAATCATAGTCGCCTTCAGTAGCAATATGAAACATCTTAACACAGTTTATGTTTGTCCAACTTTGTGTGGACATGTTGTCAACGTCAATATTTTATTTTATTTTGCCTTTACGTTTAAGTGGGCGGGGTTTCAGCCAAGGCTGCTTTACCAACCCAACCCACTATACAGTAATATCCATGCCCGAACCCGGATTCGAACCAGGGACCCTAGCACCACAGTCCAGCTTCAACTGAACTGCGCCACATAGGCCGTTCTTCGCAAGACTGCTTGAAATCGGGAGATTTTTCGAGAAAGGATTTCTCAAGACTTCCCAACAAAGAATTCCCAAGACTACCCAAAGAATTCCTTAATCTTTTACACCGAATTCCCAGCGAAATCAACCCCTCGAGGTTTTCTTACTTATCATGATTCCTATATTAACATATAACCGAGCATATAACTATAATCTCGATAGAACCACAGTAATATCCGAAACTTGTAACCATGAATAATTAAATTGATTGTATTGTAGCTATGTATATGCATTAAAACTTTCGCAGGAAAATATTAACTTACTGTTCCACAAGTTTCAGCATCTCCATAAAAGATATCAACTCCCATTTTCACAACTTCTGCTTCTATTTTACATAAACCAGGAAATACGTCCGGGTGCAAGGGATTTGTGTATGATGTTTTAGCATATACATCTCTCACTAGCTCTAGCAGTTCAGGATTTGAATAATAAACTGTACCCGACACCTTTCCATTCTTCCAATTAAATCCACCTAGAATTGATGCATAATTGTAGTGTGTATTTAAGTATAACAACCAAAAATGAGTAAGCAAAGTGCCAATCAGCAATAATACTGCAGGTAAAATGGTACATAAAATAACGCATGCATGGTTTTGCTGAAATTCAAACTTTCAGTAGACCATTATGCAAATTTAAAGTTGAGCACTTTCGTTTGTTGAAAGAGAAGCCGTTTCATTGTAAATGTAGAAACTGAGACTTAACTTAATCTTACCAAGGTTTAAATTATTGTCAACAGTCCTAAGAATATCATTCCTAGATAACCCAGCAGTAGGAAGCTGAGTGATATATTTAACCAGATGTTCTCTCTCTCTGACATCTTTCTCCAAAGCATCCTTAACTTCTGCCATTTTTAAATCAATTTCCTTCCGAATCGATGGTATTAATCTAATATATTTAAAGAAGGTTCTTTTTGCTCTCTCTATGACGCCTAAAATGGTATTGTTACTTTCACCAAGTACTTATAATTGGTATTGTTACTTTCATCCTGAAATATAAACTCGTAAATCCATACTGAAAGAAGAACTGTTGATGTAGTTATTGTTACTATTTGCCATGGTTCTTTTGAAGAAAAGTGATTATTAACAACGTTTTTTAGAGCAGTTACCGGTAGGCTGACGAACTCCATTTTACTAAAAGTTACCTACATATAAAACACGTCAGTATCTTATCTTAATCTGGTATTAGAGGTACACTTAACGTGGTTCTAAAATGAGTTTATGCACATATAACATATAACCTAGCAAGTAGCAACAGGTAAATAACCATGAAGTTTGAAATTTGAACCTTAGTCACTGACCTTCCTCACTGCGCATAAATGTTTTGTTTGTTCTCTTTTTACACTTGCTTATACAGGGTGGTGACTTGCGTAACGCATCATAGGGATTTCAATGTAAAATTCGTAACATGCGATTTTGGCTCCCCAAATTATTTTAGAGAAAAAATGTATTAAAGTTTTTTGTAGACAACATTTTTTTACACCATTCAACCGTATTAGTTTTCAATTATTTTCATATAAAGACGGAAAATTGGAAAAATAAAACCCGCATCTTTTTCAATAATCTGCGATGCCATGGAATTTTCTAAAACAAAAAGATATCCAGTTAGCAATTAGAAGCACTTCGAAATGGATTTTATGATCGACTTGATTACTGTCTTGCAGTTAATGGTGACTTATTCGAACATTTATTGTAAATTGTTATATTAGAAAACCGTTTTTAGTAATTTGGTCTTTCTTTATGTTGAATTCGCTGTTCTAAATATAATACTTTTTGATAGAATTTGATTTGTTTTATAGCAGACATTCCATGACATGACGGATATTGGCGTAGTTTTTGTATTATAAAATTCCATGGCATCGCAGATTACTGAAAAAGGTGGGGGTTTTATTTTTCTTTATTTATTCTTTATTATTTATTAATTATGCAAACAATTGAAAACTAATACGATTGACGTAAAAAAATTTTTATACAAAAAACCTGAATACATTTTTGCTCTAAAATAATTTGGAGAGCCAATAATCGCATGTTATGAATTTTACATTGAGATCCCTATGATGCGTTACGCGTACACGCGTGTTTCAACTAAAGTCAGCGCCATGGAATTTTAAAGTCGCTAAAGTGGCATATATATATGATGCTTTTTTATAATTACAAAGTACGATCAGAAACTGAGTATCGGGTTGGGTTGTTGAGACATTATGAGTTTTTGTTAATAGAACAGCCTTTTACATATGCTTTGAAATAAAATGAAATTCCTTTGCTTCATGAAAATTCTAGATAAAAATCTGGAATACATATTACCCTCAAAATAATAATACAGAATAGTATTACATTCGTCATTCAATGTAAATTTGATGAACCCTCAGTTCAGAGAGAAGAAAAAATAAATGAAAACTACAATTAATAGTATATTATTATACGAGCATATAAAGTGTGCGATTATGACACGAGGTGAAGTTTGCAACACGAGCCGAAGGCGAGTGTTGTAATTTTTCCGAGTGTCATAATCGCCTTTATATGCAAGTGAAATACGCTATTTTATCTACGACTATTTAATTAAATAGAAAATGCGGCATCTGAATCAGTTTGAAACGTAGCAACTTCATAGCGGTAGCGCAATGTACGCCTATGGTTTGGTTTGCGTTCGTTCATTCGTTGACGGTATTTAACCTCAAATCTAATTCAATGTATCGCAATGTACCTAAGTGGCGAACTAAATATGCAATTTATCTTAAGTTCCCAGAAGTCATTTAATTCAACACGTAATTACCTACACGTAAGATTATTGCTAATATAAATGGTTGTCATTCATTTTTCATTGTTTTAGATTGTGACATAACCTATGGAAGTAAGGTGGATATTTATGTGATGTAACTATGTACAATTATTCTCTAAATCCGATCCCGATGTATCAATTATGCCTGCAGAAATTGTTACACAGCTGCCAAATGGAATACAATATTTTGTTTCGCATACATAATCTAATTTTTCAAAGACTTCGTTACGCTTCTCCGACCTGCATCCAAGAAGTTTCTTCCTCTTTTAGAAACGAAGTTTAAGCAATGAAAGCATAGTTTTATTGCAAATTTAAGGGCAAGAGGTGTTTTTTATTAGTTAACGTACATATTGTAGCCATCTATTTAAGTAATTTGGTCAATGCCTAGTATGTAAGACCTGTTACGAATTATCAATTCTTAAAATAAATCATGCAAAACTGTGGTTAAGTGCTACGACAATTTGTATCCTTTATTGTCAACGAGTTTACAATATGTTATTGTTTTGTATCGTGGCACAATTTCGACAATACCACATATGTTGTACGAAACATATTTCTCTTCGTAAAAGGCTGAAACTTATAGGTTATACCTAGCATAATCTTCAAATGGGGCTTCCGATAATCCATTATGCTACAAATAATGCCTTGTGAATATAGGTATAGATACTTTAAATACAAACGAAAACCTTATTCATGCTCATGCAGAATATTTGAATCAGCGAAGGTATCTGTCGTTAAGTAACGTTGCCTGAACTTGCCAATGACTTCAGGTATTTTACAAGTTTATTTCATCCCATTTTATAAATATCGCACATATCTCGTCATAGGGGTGGATCAAGTTCCTGTATTAATTGTTTTTCAAATAAACCTACAAAGTTAAGCGTACGTAACCCGAAATCTCTCTTTTCTAACCTAAGAAATGCTTAATTCAAAACAAAACTGACAGGTAGTACATACGAGATGGGCGGTTCTATTTTTAGTACATATGCAATTATGAACTTATACATATGCAATTATGAGAAATATATAGTGACATAAAGTAGTTGTATATAAGGATTTTAGAGGAACCGATAATAATGCATATCATAATTCGCTAAAATATAGTGACGTTATTTGAGCGTTATTTAATAGTCGTAGATAATAGTATTGCATAATAAGTGTGCTAAGAAGCCTATTTCGCACGAGTATTTTGCGACACGAGCGAGCGCAGCGAGCGAGTGTTGTAATAAAATCGAGTGCGTAATAGGCATTAGCACTCGAATTATGTACTATACTTTTTCTACGACTTGAATATAATTGATAAAAGATTGATAGATTACGATTGATTTGGTTCTAAATATTCGAACTTCGAACTAAAAATTAGAACTGTCAAGTGTCAAATGTCATGGTCTATTTAAAAGGAATACAAAATACAACGTAACCTCACTTATATTCCATGAATGCACGCCAGCGAGCAAGAATTTTATAAATACTTTTTACTTAGATTGGAAGTGTATTGCAGGGTTTTGACATCCCTATTCCTTACTGCAATGTGAGTTTCATTTTAGCACCATAGATGCAATAGCCAATAGGATACAAGATACAAGTGTTGAAGTTGAAGATTACTACCTAACTAGCTCAGGTGGTGTTTGTGCTCTTTTTCATTACAGTTTTGAACGATTTCTATTGTTGCAGTTGCCAATGTATTAGGTACCTAACTATCGATAATACTAAGGCCTTCAAAACGCTGCGTCTTTTAACGAGTTTTCCCGGGAAGGAAGCATCGGACTACCCAGTATTCTAAAGTGCATTATTCCGTGTTCCATGCAAGTCGTAATTGGCACCATCCATTAATTCTTCGAGTACTTATTGTAGTTTTCTAAAATACAAAATAGTAGCAACAGAGTTTGCTTAATTAACTAAACGCAGCTTCAAACCATTCTTGAGTAGCCCATTACGATTATGAAAAATAATTGGGCACGGTTAATAAATTACGTACAGGCTCCATTCTCCATTCTCATACAAATGGCAAAGTTTAAACAAATTATGAGTAATTCTGTTCAAAGAAGTTTACAAAATGTGAAACATAACCTACAACAACAATATCTGACGTTACTTCATTCATTAGGCAGGGCTGACAACCTACTAAATTAACATTTCGCGTTTGACCTTTAACCTGTTACGTAATATATATATATTAAGTAACAGTTCTAATTTTCATTATGCAACCGTATGATATAATGAACGATTTAGACGTGCAGTACAGGGTGACATTTTGGGTATGTTTACGACATAGGAGTAGAAAAAGGAAATTTTTTAAACAACTTCTCGTTATTGACAAATCAAACAAGTGGTGAAATTGCAGTATATCACGCTCACGTGGGGCGCTTAACCCTATTTTCGACATGCCGGAAACCAGTTATTAATGGGGTATTTGCTACGAGTAAAAATCGGAACACTTATTCACGACTATCAACAAAAGTCACGCGTTTACTAAGTTTCCAAGCTGTACAAACAAAATTGTTCTATTGTCATAGAAAAGCTTTTTAATTTTCTATTGAAAGCGTCAAAGTTGACTTTGAATATAAAATCTTCAGTTTCTTTTAAGTAGCAACAAGCACACCCTCTTTAAGTAATGGGCGTGTGTGGGAGTAGTTTTAGGGTCTCTATTTTTTAGCGATAAGTGATTCTTGCTTACCATAATTACAACACGTATAGGTTGCTCCCTTTTTTAGACGCCCTTTTATGCATGTTTGCATTTAATTAAACCTATTTTGTAAGCCTGCCTCATCACAGCTCTACAAATGATAACTAGGCCTAGAGCTATAATACCACCAAAGGTTTCCATTTGCCAAAATATGTACATACCTATAAGTTAAAGGTAAAAATCCTATTAAATTTAAATGACATGCTAATATGTAATAAAATATTCTATATTGTTACCGCAAGAGCGGTAGTGTATTTTTTTCTACGTGTCGACTGGCTTTCACGAGGATAAAAATTAGCGCCCTTTATTTATTGAAGACAGTTAATCTAAATTTCTGGAAGAAAGCCAAATTTCTCTTCGTTATCCCCATGAATAAAGGGACTTTTTTACTTGTGTGTTTCTGAATATGAGAGATTATTCACATTCTCGTTGCGTTTTCAGTTCAACTTTCGAATACGAGATGGATTGGTTTTGCTGACTGTTGTTTCGTGTATTGATCAGTCACCAATTCTATACGACAATAGCGGGCACAGCAAGTACGGAGATACGTAGACTTGCCGTTTTAGTTTTGAATTTGCGCAATCAGCTACCGTTTAATCAGAGCAGGGCAATTATTCGAAAGCAGACTACTGCAAACTATAACGGTGCATTTTTATTATACTAAGGGCCAGCTTCATAATCGCGCAAAAGAAGTCAATTTTATGTCCAAATTAAGGCAGCTGTTGTGGAGGAACCCCTCCATTCCGAGTGGAAAATAATATTGAGTTAAACATTATACACATTATCTAATGATATTGATACGGCATCTTGTAATAAATATCATATAGAATTGTTTGTCTTCAACAGCAACATTAATTATTCATTAAAGTCGACTTTAGACAAAGGATGTTACAAAAATAAACTAAAAAAATTGGAAATGAGCGCGACGAAGCCTTCAGTTTGGTCTGGTGGGGCCCTAAATATTCATGAGGCTTGTACAGTTTTTATCTTGCCCGTCGTGCAAAAAAGTGTATAACCATCATATGTGACTCAAATACGATGCTTTTTAACAAATAAACTAAGCTTCGAGTTTCATTTTAAAATACTTGCTATTGACATGTTGTGATTTGCTGTTGTTAATCATTGTTGATTTTTGGTATAAAAATAGAGGTAGAATTGATATTATTGCATGGGTAATATATCGGATGGGGCTCAAATGCTTGTCACTTCATGAAAAATTTCGTGTAAAAGATGAAGATGAAATGGAGTTAGAGAAAAGAAGAAAGTAGAGGAGAGAGTAAAAGAATAGGCGAACCACGGGCGGTTCATACATAGAAAACAAAATGGACGATGAAGAAATATTATCACAGACAAGGAAGAAGTATGCTCAAATAGTTGAAGCTAGAATAGGGTGAGAAGTATGTAATTAAGGATCATAAGCAATTTATAACTAACCCCGGGTCAGAAGTCAGAATTTCTTGAAATTGATATAAATGCACGGTGGATATATATTGACCTAAAAATTCGTGAGTAAATTGTAGGCGTAGAACTCTTGTGGTAATTGCTGTGTCAGCCTTACCAATATAATGCAACGTTGATATAGTGTTTTTCCAATAGTTGCAAAAGGAAAAATTAACTTTTTTTGCGATGACCTTCAGGAAATGTGCTCTTTTCGTGGTACGCACTGGAATAAGGAAGTCGACAGAATACTAGATTTTATGTGTTAAATTTTTTGGAGAACACGACACAACCGTTCTGATCAGAGAGCTGAGACAATGAATTGGGGATGAGAATGATCGCTGCGAAAATGGTTCCAAAAATCTTTTACAAAAACCAATGATATTCTGGTATCGATTTAAAATGCCTCCCATTTTTTGGAATGTGTAATTACTTACTACTACTAACAAAATCCGGAGATTTGCGTATGGATTGGACACTTCGCCCTCACCAAAACAAGACTGAACAAGTTGCAAATTAATTTAATTTTTTGATAGCCACGGAATACCAAATCGGGCCGTGTGGCGCAATGGTTCGAATCCGGGTTCGGGCATGGATATTTGTAAACGCATAGTGGGCTGGGTTGGTAGAACAGCCTTGGCTAAAACACCCACATAAAACTTGTTTTCGAAAAGAGGTCGTACGCGTGAGACCAGACATCAAGAACAGTATTGGATCATGCATCACGGCGAATAAACAAATTCTGCTCGATCTTCAACCTCTTCACCCGTTCTTCCTTTTTCCTAGATTGAAAATTCGTCTGGAAGGTGTTATTTTGGGACATTTGAAAACGGGCAAAGGGCTGTAACCGACCAGCTGAGGATCATTTTGAAATGCGAGGTTCAGTACTACTATGAGTGGAAGTCTCCATTGTTACGACGCTTCCCGATGGAACAATATTGAATTCTCGTGTTCACATGACTGTGATCATATTTTAATTACCAGTTTCATCACTTAATTTGCATACCTCGCATAAACACGTGCTGAGCAACAGTATAAATGTTTATTTCCAACAAACAGTTGGTTAGTCATTTTATCCTTCTTCAAGTTCAGCAATAAATATTATTATTGTAAACTACACGGGGGTGTCGTTTTCCTAGGTTTAACAATGCCGAAGACGAGAGCGAGCCACCTTGTAGTGTAAAACTACCTCTTGTTAACGTAATTTCGGTCTGAATATCGGAAATAGCAGTCGGGACGCCCTCTACGTAGGTAACACAATCTAATTTATTACATAAGACCTGGGAATTTTTTAAATTTCAAATGGACACAGAATGGGAAAAGTTTGTTAAACTTTCATTTTAGTGTTAGTGTCATATTGTAAATAATGTAAATGATAATTATATTTCTTGTATTTAGTTTTTAATAATAATTATAACGTATAAACAAGAGAACATTTCATTGCAATTTTTACGTGGGTTAAAAGTTTAATCTCGTCAGGTGTTAGTAAAAAGCTACCATTGGGCTGGGTCTGGAGACTTGTCGCTGTCAAAATGACTGGCTTCAAAATAAACGCAAAATACCAGGCAACGTAAAGTCCGCAGGATTTTAACCTTATAAGGATTAACAACTCCTGTAACACAGGCGAGTAAAACGACAAAATAAAACCACCTACCACCTTAACAGGTCTGGGGAATAATAATGAAACAAAAGGAAAGCTCTCTGTAAATGAAAACAAATGGAAATAAATTAATAAAAGAATTCTGGGTTGCTAATCTGGGATGTAATAATGCTTGGGTTTGGAGTATGGTTCTGCTTTCTAGTCTGTACGAGGTGTAGGAATTATGTTCCCTGAAGTCTTAACAGTCACATTTTTATAGGGACAAGGATAAGCACAGAACAGGTGGCAGTAGGGAATGCAATACCGGGATCGCGGGATCCCGAAATACCGGGATCCCGCAGGATTTTTGCGGGATTAATCCCGCACATAAATGGAGCGGGATCCCGAGGGATTTGCGGGACTGAGGAATTTGTCGACCAAGGGAACGACTCTGCTTTGTTAATTAAACGCATAACGGAGAAATTATTTTTAAAATAATTGTTAAATTTTTTTCGTTAAAAATGTATTATGATTTTTGAGGCACTTTA